GCAGTCAGATCCGCCAGCGCAGAGAGACATTCTCCAACCGAGAAAATACCCTGTGCACACACACAAAGCAAACAACAACAACTGCAATAATAATAATAAACCAAACCAGCTGGGCGCCGGTGGCTCAATGCCTGGCATCCCAGCTACTCAGGAGGCTGAGATCTTCAGGATGTGAGGTTCAAAGCCAGCCTGGGCAGAAAAGTCTGTGAGACTCTGATCTCCAAGGAACCACCAGAAACCCGGAAGTGGTGCCATATTATTGGCACAGAGTAGCAGACACACAGGTCAGAAGCCAAGCTGTGGCTCCAGTGGTCCAGCAAAATAGCCTTGAGCAGAAAAGCTCGGGGGCAAAGTCAGGTGCCGTGGCTCCCGCCTGGCATCCCAGCTACTCAGGAGGCTGAGATCCGGAGGATCGAGGTTCAGAGCCAGCCTTAGCAGGGAAGTCCATGAGACTCTCATCTCCAATGAAACCACCAGAAAACCAACAGTGGCGACATGTGTGTGACGCAAAGTGGTAGAGCGCCAGCCTGGAGCAAATGAAGCTCAGGGACAGCGCCCAGGCCCTGAGTTCAAGCCCCAGGACTGACACAGACACACAGCCACAGACAGACAGACAGACACACACACACACACTCAGACACACACGCACACATGATCACTATAATTTGTTTTCAGTTGTCTTAAATTGAATAAAACCTTAATTAGTGCACGTTAGACACACTCACTGGGAGAAGGGAGGAGGGAGAGGGAGAGGAGGAGGGGGAGGAGGAGGGGGAAGAGGCAGAGGAGGGGGGAGGAGGAAGAGGGGGAGGACAAGAAGGAAGAGGGGGAGGGGGAGAGGATGGGGAGGGGAGGAGGGGGAGGAGAGGGGAGGGGGAGGGGGAAGAGGGGGACGAGGGGGAGGGGGAGGAGAGGGGGAGGGGAAGGGGAGGTGGGAGGGGGAGGAGGGGGAGGTGGGAGGGGGGAGGGGGAAGGAAGGAGGGGGGAGGGGAAGGGAGGAGGGGGGAGGGGGAGGGGGAGAGGAGGGGAAGGGGGAGGGGAAGGGGAGGTGGGAGGGGGAGGAGGGGGAAGGGAGGAGGGGGGAGGGGGAGAGGAGGGGGGAGGGGGAGGAGGGAGGGGGGAGGGGGAAGGGAGGAGGGGGGAGGGGGAGGAGGGAGGGGGGAGGGGGAAGGGAGGAGGGGGGAGGGGGAGGAGGGAGGGGGGAGGGGGAAGGGAGGAGGGGGGAGGGGGAGAGGAGGGGGAGGGGGAGGAGGGAGGGGGGAGGGGGAAGGGAGGAGGGGGGAGGGGGAGAGGAGGGGGAGGGGGAGGAGGAGGAGGGGGAGAGGAGGGGGAGGGGGGAGGCTTGGTGTCACGTGACTGCGTCCTGCTGCAGGGATTTAATGAGAAACACTCCGCGTTTTTCCAGCCTGGTCTTTCTAGTCAGGACTCCCGCCGAGATGAAAGGTCAGGAGAAAAGGAGGAGGGGGGGGAGCCCCGGGGTGCGGGAGCGGAGGAGGGGGGCCCGCGGGGCGGCCTGTGTGAGCCCCCCCCCCCCCCCCCCCCCCCGCTCCCCGCCCGCGGCCGCCCCCTGCCGGCAGCCCCGCTCCCCGCAGCCCGCAGCCCGCCCGCGGCCGCCCCCTGCCGGCAGCCCCGCTCCCCGCAGCCCGCCCGCGGCCGCCCCCTGCCGGCAGCCCCGCTCCCCGCAGCCCGCGGCCGCCCCCTGCCGGCAGCCCCGCTCCCCGCAGCCCGCGGCCGCCCCCTGCCGGCAGCCCCGCTCCCCGCTCCCCGCCCGCGGCCGCCCCCTGCCTGCAGCCCCGCTCCCCGCAGCCCGCGGCCGCCCCCTGCCTGCGCGGCCCCGCGGGGCGCTTTGGCCTCTGAGCCGGGGTCGGGCCTCCCCGACTCGGCCCCGCGCTGGCGGCTCGCCGCTGTCGGGAGGCCGAGAGCCGGAGGATCGCGGTTCCAAGCCAGCCGCAGGCAGCAAGGCCCGGGAGCCTCTGATCGCCCGAAGAACGCCCAGGACACCGGAGGTGGCGCCGTGGCTCAAGCGGTCGAGCGCCGGCCTCGGGCCCGGGGAGCTGGGGACCGGCCCCAGGCCCCCCAAAACGCCCCCGGGGCCATCGCAGGGCGGCCAGCGCTGGGCATGGCGTCGAGGGGCCGGGCCCGCGGGATGCCGGGCCTGGGCTGGACCCCGGGGCCTGGGCCCCGCCCCCGAGCTCCTCCGCCGGCCGGGCGCTCCACCGCTTGGGCCACAGCGCCGCCTCCGGCCTTTGCTGAGGGATGGAACCCAGGGCCTGGGGCGGGCATCTCCCCGGCTGTGAGCACCAGCGGGGTGGGTGAGGCCGGGTTGCCCCGTCATGAGTCATCAGGGAGAAGGAAACCACTCCCAAGGCAGATGGGCAGGCGGGGACCGGGAACTGCACCCCCAGGCCAGCCAGCGGCGTGACCCCGGCGTCAGAGGTGAGACGCACGCACGCTTCCGCTAAGAGCCAGAGCATCCTTGAACGCGAGCGCGCGCGCGCATCGCTGTGTCAGCAGCAGCCGGGGCGGGAGCCGAACCCCAGGCTCTCCCTGAACGTTCTAGAAGGCGTCCCGGAGTCGGGGGTCCCGAAGACCCGCGGACCACGGCGCCGCCTGCTGGCCGGATGGGCGCGCTCGGGACGCTCTAGGCGCGCGGAGGCCCCTGGCATCTCGTTGGTCCCAGGGGGCCGGGCCGGGAGGGCTCAGCGTCGCTTTCTATTGGAGCAGCCCAGGCAGGGAGGGGCGGGGCTTCGGCGAGTCCCAATCTCCGCCCTGCCTCGGGCGGACGGGGCGGGGCTTCGGCGAGGGCCAATCTCCGCCCTGCCCGGCGGCGGCGTGAGGGGCGGGGCCTCGCCGGGGACGTCCCCGTGCGTAGCTCCGCGCCGGGGGCGGAGCCTTGGCGGCAAGTTTGAATGGAACCCGGGCCGTGGCTCCTGTGGAGCCGCACACGTGCTAGCTGCTGGGTCTGTTCTTTGCGGCTGTCGTGGGGGTTGAACGCGGCAGCTTTTCTTTAGCTCTAGGACGAGCCGCGCCGGGCCTTTGGGCGATTAGTTGAAGCACGGGCGCTCGCGGGCTCTTCTTCCCCGGCCGGGCTGCGAACCGCGGTATGCTGAGATGGCAGCCTCCCGCAGAGCTAGGTTGACGCGCTCAGCTCATAATAAGCTGCTCACGGCCCGCCGGGGACCTGGCGACTCCGGAAAGGCCGAGCGAGCTGGGCAGCGAAACCCAGGCAGCCATCTTTGTTAAGGGCAGAGGCTCCTCGCTGCCCTTCCTACCGACGATTGGGAGAACGTGCTGGGGTCGCCGGAAGGGGCGGGCGTTCGGCGGATGGAAGCCTATGAGCGGGCGGGCGGCCATCTTTAGTCCTGGCGCGCGCCTCACGTTGCCCTTTCTCTGGGCACTGGACTTCCGGAAGGCGGGTCCCGGGCCCCTCAGCCGGCTCGGACTGAGCTGAGTGGGTTTTGTGACTGAAAGCTTGAAAGCGGGAGTGGCCGTCCTCCCCGCGGGTCCCAGGGGCGTGGCGGGACAGCTTCTCAGAGGCTCACGGCTGTCATCCCAGCTGTCTCGGGAGGCTGAGATCGGAGGATCGCAGTCGGAGGCCAGCCTCGGGGACGGCCCAGTGGGCCATGGCCGGGCTGAGAGGCTGGAGCTGCGCCCAACTCTCGTTAAACACCCCACAGAGTTATAAAAGACAGCCACAGCGGGCCCCAGGGTGCAACCCCAGGCCTTGGGGCCCGGAGATCGCAGCGTCTGGGCCCCGAGTTCAACACCAACCCCACACACGAAACACCCACACGATGAGCGAGGATCAGGTCGGGAAAAGACGAGAGTGGTGTGTCAGGCCGTGAGCCAAAAGGAAAATGAAGCGAGGTCGGGTCCCTCTCCCGGCCCGGACGGGTGACATCTGAGACAGACAGACAGACATTTAACCAACCCAACCGCGATCTCAGCCCCAGCGCAGCGGAAGGACAGAGCAAAGGCACAACGGGAACACGTCCCGAACCCAACAGCACACCCGGCCTGTGGTCCTAGCAGCTCAGGAGGCTGAGATCTGAGGCTCAGGGTTCGAGGCCAGCCCGGGCAGAGAGGAAAGTGTGTGCGACGCTCATCTGCAATAAGTCCCGTGGAAAGATCTGGAAGGGAGGGCTGGGGAGGACGGCGGCTCAGGGGGAGAGAGTGCCAGGCTCGCAGGCAAGGAGGCCCCGGGTTCGAGTCCTCAGTGCTCACGGAAGGAGAAAAGCCGGAGGTGGCGCTGTGGCTCAGGTGGTCGAGCGCCGGGAGCACCAGGCGCCGCGCCCAGGGTCTGTCTCTATTCTTGTTATTCAGTCTAGGCCTGGTGCTCGTGGCTGGTGCTCTACCGCGTGAGCCACGACCCCACTTCCGGCTTTTTGTGGGATGCTTGGAGCCTTAAAGAGCCTCAGATACTTTCTCGTGGCCAGGCCGGCTTCGAACCGCGCTCCTCAAGGTCTGCCCCCGCCCCGGGCGGCGGGGATGCCGGGCGTGAGCCGCCGGCGCCGGCTTTGTAGTTCTTCATCGGCGTGGATTCGAACCGACGAACCCAGCACGCCTGGGACGGCCAGGCCGGAGCCTCCGGAAGCGGGGCGGGGCGGGGCGGAGGACGTCACTGCCCCTGAGCATGCGCACCAACCAAAAGGGAATCAGAGACTCACGGACGCACGCCGCGGCCAATAGGAGGCCGCGCCGGCGTCACGCGGGGGCGGAGGGGGCGGCGGAGGAGGAGGGGGTGACGTCACTGTCTCTCTGAGCATGCGCACCAACAAAAAGGGCTAAAAGGCTGACGGACGCACGCGGCGGCCAATCGGAGGCCGCGCCCGTGTCACGGGGGCGTGGAGAGGGCGGGGGAGGTGGCGTGACGTCCCTGTCTTTCTGCGCATGCGCACCAACAAAAAAAGGCTAAAAGACTGACGGACGCACGCCGCGGCCAATCGGAGGCCGCGCCGGCGTCACGCGGGCGCGGAGCGGGCGGGGCGCGCTCCCGCACATGCGCCGTGCCGGCCGGGGCCTCCTTCCTTCTCGCCCTGCACCGCCGACATGGTGGGTGTCGCGTGCTGCGCGCTCCGCTCCCGGCGGCCGGGCCGCTTCCCCCGCCGCTCCCTGGGCGGCCCGGGCCGGGCGGCCGCGCCCCGGGGGAGGCCCCGCGCGCCGGGATCGGGGGGCTCGGGGGGAGGGAAGCCGGAGCAGGGCGGGGAAGCTCGGGCCCGGGGCCGGCGCGCTGCGGCCCGCCGGGGTCCGCCGCGCATGCGCGGGCCGGGCCGGCCGGCCGCCCCGCGAGGCTCGGCCGCGGAGTGGGGATGGGGTCGGCCTGCGCCCGGCCTGGCGCTCACGCGGGGGTGCGGGCGCGCCCCGGGTCTCGCCGCCAGGTGTTCCGGCGTTACGTGGAGATCGGCCGGGTGGCCTACATCGCCTTCGGGCCGCACGCGGGCAAGCTGGTGGCCATCGTGGACGTCATTGACCAGAACCGGGTGAGCAGCCCGTCATACTCCGTCGCCCGGCCTGACCCAAGCGGGGGTTTTGGGGGGTTCACAGTCACACCCCCCCCCCCGCGGGGTGGGAGAGTGTCGGTCCTGGGGCTTGAACTCAGGACCTGGGCGCTCTACCACCTGAGCCAGGGCGCCCGTCCCGCCTTTGGCTGTGTCTGCGGGGCTGGGGGGAAGCCCGGGCCCGGCGCGTGCCCGGCGTGAGTGTGTCGCGCGCCCGTGCGTTGCAGGCGCTGGTGGACGGCCCGTGCACGCGCGTGAGGAGGCAGGCCATGCCGTTCAAGTGCATGCAGCTCACCGACTTCATCCTCAAGTTCCCGCACAGGTAGGGGCCGCCGGGCGTCCTGCTAGACGCGGGACGTCCTGACTCTGCAGGGGCTGGGCCTCGGGCTCCAACTGGCAGCTTTGGGCTGCTCGGAGATCACAGACTTTGCTGTTGGAGCCTCAAAATCTCAGCCCAACCCCGTGGCTGGGATTACAGGTGTGTGCTACGCATCCCCAGCTGCAATAGTTACTTTTTGTTTTGCTTTTTTGGTCAGTCGTGGGGCTTGAACTCTGAGCTCTTCAGCTCAAGGAGAGCGCTCTACTGCTTGAGCCACAGCGCCACTTCCAGTTTTCTGGGGGTTCGTTGCAGAAAAGACTCATGGACTTTTTTTTCTCAGGCTGTCAGCCTCCTGAATAGCTAGGATTACGTGGGAGCCACCAGCGCCCAGCTCCAATAGTTACTTTTGCACTTAGCCAGGGAGCGAGTTTTAGCTTTGTCCACAGCTTGATATTTTCTATTTCTCCATGTATGTATGTATATGTACATGTTTGTGCATACATATGGTTGTGCAAAAGAAAGTTCACAGGAGAAAGGTGTTTTCAGGGCTGGGAAGGTGGCTCAGTGGTAGAGCACTTGCCTTGCATGCATGAGGCCCTGGGTTCGATTCCTCAGCACCACATAAGCAAAAAGCAAAAAGCTGGAAGTGGCGCTGTGGCTCAAGTGGTAGAGCGCTAGCCTTGAGCTGAAGAGCTGAGGGACAGCGCCCAGGCCCAGAGTTCAGGCCCTACGACTGGACCTCCCAAAAAATATTAAATGAGTATCTACTCGTAACAAGGGTGTAGTTTTCTGCACATGTGTGTCTGTGCATTCGCATGCAGCTTGTTTTGACTTGGGGAGTTTTCCTTTTGGGCGGGGGGTCCGGTCGTGGGGCCTGGGCGCTGTCCCTGACTTCTTTGGATCAAGGCTGGCGCTCTACCACTGAAGCCACAGCCCCACGTCCAGCTTTTTCTGTGTCTGTGGTGCTGAGGAATGGAACCCAGGGCCTCATGCATGCTAGGCGAGCACTCTACCACTGAGCCACCTTCCCAGCCGTCCACGGGGACTCAATGGTGGTCTTCACTGTTGCAGCGCCCGGCAGAAGTACGTGCGCAAAGCGTGGGAGAAGGCGGACATCAATACGAAGTGGGCGGCCACCCGGTGGGCCAAGAAGATTGACGCCAGGGAAAGGGTGAGGCCCCGCCGGCCACAGGCGCGTGGGATTTGGCCCACGTGTACAATAGGGGGAAAAGCCATCCTGTGAAATGTGTCCGTTCTCTCCACAGAAAGCCAAGATGACGGACTTCGATCGCTACAAAGTCATGAAGGCCAAGAAGATGGTGAGTTCTGTATCCTACAGCATCTTGAGAATGGTGTTTGAATAGACCAGAGCCCGGCACCATGGCTCCTGCCTACCGCCCCAGCTTCTCAGGAGGCTGAGGTCTGAGGATGGAGATGTGAGGCCAACTTGGGCAGGCAATGCTGAAACTTCTTAGAAGAGAATTGGAGGGAGCGGGCTGTGGGTGGGTTCATGAGCACCCCAACCCCTTTTTTTCTGTCTTGTCTGTCATGGGATTTGAACTCTGGGCCTGTGCCCTTGTCTCTTAGCTGTTCAGTTCCATCAAGCATGCTGCTTGAGCGTGGTTCGTGGGAGATCAGTGTCTCACGGACTTGATTGTCCGGGCCTGGCCTCCAATCAGGATCCTCTGGCTCTCAGCCTCCCACGTAGCTAAAAGGCTCGAGCTCCGTGCTTATTTGGCCTGTTTTTCTTTTTTCCAGAGGAATCGACTCATCAAGAACGAAGTGAAGAAACTGCAGCGAGCCGCTCTCTTGAAAGCTTCTCCCAAGAAAGCCCCAGTGGCCAAGGCCGCCATCGCTGCCGCCGCCGCCGCAGCTGCCGCCGCCAAGGCCAAAGGCAAAGGCTCAGCCCCGGCCAAGAAGGGCGACGCCACCGCCAAGAAGCCCCCCGCCCAGAAGGCCGCCGCCCCAAAAGCCGCGGGAGCCAAGGCTGCGCAGCCCCCCAAGGCACAGAAAGGCCCAAAGCCCCCGGCCACCAAGCCGGCCGCCCCCAAAACGGCCGGCAAGAAAGCCTAGCGCGGATCTCGCGAGGAATAAATGTTTGCTTTATGTTGGCAGACTGCGTCCACCTGCGTGTGTACTCAGATCCCAGCACCCAGCTTGCAGCCCTACACATTCCAGTGCTTGTTCTTTAGGCATAGTCCTTTTGTATCAGTGTGCTCACCTCTGAGTGCTCTAGAAGGCGCCAGTAGCTCCCACCTGCCATCCCAGCCACTCAGGAGGCTGAGATCTGGAGGATCACAGTTCAGCACTAGCCCAGGCTGGACGAGTGCCCTGTCTCAGGTGGTAGAGCGCCAGCCTGGAACAAAAGCAGCTCAGGGACCGTGCCCAGGCCCTGAGTTCAAACCCCAGCACCAACACAAAAATAGTATCTATAGGTAGATAAAAGTTCCAGCCCTGGTGCCTGTCAAGTCAGCAAAGTGGGCGTGGTGGCGTAGCGCAGCAATAGAGTTCCGGCCTAGCGAGTGTTGTGTTTTCCCTACCTCCAATGAGATGGTGCGCTTGCGCATCACAGCCCCGCCTAGGTGCTGTGTTTGCTTTGGGTTATGTGGTCAGGGCCGGGCTCCCAGGGTGGACAGCCATGAAGAGGTCAGAGGTCGCTCCCTCCCTGCTGACCTCGGCTATTTTGGAGTCCATCCTCTGCAGCTGAGCAGCCTGTGCTGGCCAAGCTGGCCTCCCTCCCGAGGCCGCTGCGCTCGCTGCCCTCTTTAAGTTATTCGATCCATTTATTGCACAAATATTTACTGAGGGAGCTCCTGGTGACGTCATGTTTGAACCTTTGAACCCCGGGGTTTCCTGGAGGAATAAAAGGAGCCTCAGTGTTCACAGCAAGGAAACTCTTGAGCCCGGCCCACCACCACAGCTCATGCCTGTAGTCCCAGCTGCTCAGGAAGCTGAGATCCCAGGATCCCGAGGGAGCTTGCCCTAGAATTTCTAATCCACGTGCCTCTTCTACTAAGTGTGTGTTTGTGTTTTCTGGGACTTGAACTCAGGACCTGGGCGCTGTTCGCTTTTGGCATAAAATACATAGTATATATCACATGTAAGGTATGACTTTCCCGGCATCGGGCCCAGCCTTTGGAAACCACCATCCTTGACTATCTCTCAGGCTTTCTCCAGTGAACAGCTGGGATTACAGGCGTGTGCAGCGGAGCCCGGCTGTCATTCTAAAGCAACCAGTTGAACCCTTCCAGCCCCCTGGGGCTGCAAGAGCTCCTACCTTTTACTCAGCGTCCAAGGCCTGCTCAGGGGCGTGCGTGATCCGGGGCCCCACACAGAGGTAGAGGAGGACGGCCAGGGCCAGCATGGCGGCCGTGGCGAACGTGGCCAGGACACCCACGAAGATGGGCGCGGGGACGGGCGGGCGCGGTGGACGGGCGTGCTCGGCGGGGATCTGGTTGGTGAGGTTGAGCATGTAGCCTAGCGCCCAGCCCAGACTGCTGTTCTGCACCTGCGGAGGAAGAGCACGGCTCTGCACAGGCCCAGAGCCCCATGCTGCTTACAAGGAAGGGGTGTGTGTATGACTCGCCTGCTTCTCAAAGTGGATTTGGGGCCAGGTGCGGGCGGTGAACTTGAAGCCATGGACGAGCAGGTGGTAGATGTAGTGGGCGGAGAAGCAGTAGGAACGTGCATAGTCCTCTTGGAACTTGGGGAGCAGGGCGGGGAGCTGGAAAGTGAGGCACTAACCCACTCAGCCACAGCGGCTCTGGTGTGCATGTCTGTCTCGTCTCTGCTCATCCTGGGTTTGAACTCAGGATCTCACATCCTCATTTTCACTCAAGGCTGGCGCTCTACTGCTTGAGCCACAGCGCCACTTGGGCTTTTTGCTGGTTCCTGGAGAGTCTTGTGGCCTTTCCTGCCCTGTGCTGGCCTCGAACTGCGATCCTCTGGATCTCAGCCTCCCGAGTAGCCAGGAGGACGTGCTGTGAGTCCCCAGTAGGCGGCCCACTCAGGTCCCACTGATTTCTGAGCTGCTTTGGTGTTGTGTCCCCCTGCCCGGGTCCCCCCAACCCCCCTCAAGGTGCTGACCTCAGTCCACGCGCGGCTGCAGAAATCCCAGGTGCTGGTGTTAAAGGCGTCCAGGGAGAAGCTGCCCGAGAGGTTCAGGGCATTGGCCGTGTAATAAAACCCAGCAAACGCCTGCCAACAACCAGAGGAAGATGCGGGGCACGGCTGGGAGCTTGGCTTAGCAGTACAGCGCTCCCCTCGCATGCACAAAGCCCCGGGTTCGATTCCTCAGTGCCACATATGCAGAAAAAGCCCGAAGGGGTGCTGTGGCTCAAGTGGTAGAGCGCCAGCCTTGAACAGAGCAGTTTGGGGGCACTGCCCAGGCGCTGAGTTCAAGCCCCAGGACTGGCAAAAGAAAACAAGCGCTCTTTAGCCTGGATTCCAGGCGTGAGTGGCAGTCCCCGGCCGGCTTAAGGAGCAATTGTGTGACTGGGTGGGTCCCGTGCTTACCACAAAGGGGCCGTGAGGCTCGGGCTGGTCAGCCCCATCGAAGGGACAGGGCCCTGGGCCTGGGCAGAGCTGGGGGTGGAAGAGGGCACCCACTCTCTCCCCGCAGCGTGATGGGGAGCCCGAGCCTATAAACAGGACTTGGCGCAGGGGGTCGAGGCCGGCGGGCCGCTGCCGCTCCGTGCAGCTGCTCCCGAAGATCTGCCCCAGGGTGAAGGCCGCGCTGTAGCCTTGGGGGTAACAGGGGTTCACCAGCTCGCGTGCGGACAGAGTGTCCTGTGGGCCCAAGAACCGATCAGGAGATCAGGAGCGGGGGGTTAGGACGGGGTCAGCGTGAGGAGACTTTACTGCAAACAAACCTAGGTCCTGGGGCTTGAACTCAGGGCCTGAGCTGCTTTTGCTCCAGGCTGGCTCTCCACCGCTTGAACCACGCCTCCACTTCTGCCTTTTGCTGCTTCACTGGAGATGACATTCTGCTCTTGGCTTAAACACGCAGCTCCGGGCCGGGCGCCTCTCATCCCAGCGACTCGGGAGGCTGAGATCTAGAGGATGGCGGTTCGAGGCCAGCCAGGGGCAGCAAAGTCCGTGGGGCTCTGATCTCCAGTGAACCAGCAAAAAGAAGTGGAGGCGTGGTCCAAGTGGTAGAGCACCAGCCTTTAGGGGGAGCAGCTCAGGGCCAGCGCCCAGGCCCTCCCCACCCCTCCCCTCCCCTCTTCCCTTCCTCCCCCTCCCTCCTCACCCCCCCTACCTGCAGCAGCGCGGCCAGCAGCCTCCTCTCCGCCTCTTGGCGGCCGAAGCACAGGAGGCTGCGCGTGTGCAGCGGGTATGAGTAGCCGAACAGAGACACGCGCGCCCCGGCCTCCTGCGAGCCCAGCTCGGCCGGCACGAAGGCGATCTGCGTGGACGCGCCGCCCAGGTCCAGCGCGCCCACCGTCCGCGCGCCCTGCGGGTGTGTCCACGCTGGCCACGGTGTCCTCTGTGGGGAGAGAAGGGGGCCATCACCATGCACCCCGCCCCGTGGCCAGGCCCTGCACACTCCGCCCTGCCCCCAGGCCGAGGACATGGGCTGTGGCTGGGACTGCAGGCGTGAGCCGCAGCGCCCTGCTCTAAGTCCGCATCTGTCCCTCTGTCCGGCCGTCCCGCTGTGAGTCCCACCTGGTGGGCGAAGGTGAAAGGGACAGTGGGGACCCGGGGCCCGCCCCACACCTGCACGAAGTTCCCTTTGAGGTAGTTGGCGGTGATCCAGGCACACTCCCCCTCCTCCTGCCCCGTCAGGATCCGCGCACCCCCGAAGTCGTAGGGCTGCGCCTCCAGGTAGCCGCAGATGCTGGCCAGGACCGCGGCGGCCGCTGTTGCGTTCTGCAACCTAGGCGAGGCAGAGGGAGGCTGGGATCCAGAGGATTGCAGGTGGAGGCCAGCCCAGGGCGGGGAAGGCCCTGAGACTCTCATCTCCCGTGACCCAGCCCAAAACAGTGAGTGGTGCTGTGGCTCAAGTGGTGGAGCGCCAGGCCTTGAGCACCAGAGCTCAGGGACGGTGCCCACCCCCATGTGTGGTTTTCCTGCTGGTCCGGGGCTGGCCTCGAACTGCGATCCTCCGGATTTCAGCCTCCTCAGGCGCCAGAATGACAGCGTGAGCCACGGCTCCCGGCTGGAATTGTGTTGTTGGGCAGCATGGTGGCAGGGCCGCCTTCGTGGCATTTGGGTTTACCTGAGCAGGCGCATGCCGGCTGTGGCGCCCAGGTAGAGGTGCGTGGAGGCGTGGAGGGGCGCGGGGATCGCCTCCCAGACCTTTCCCATGCAGCTCTCGAACGCTCGCGGGGCATCTTCGGGGTTTTTGTCATAGCTGGAGATTCCAGAGCCTGAGGACACAGAGATGCAGCTCAGCTGTGTGTGTGTGTGTGTGTGTGTGTGTGTGTGTGTCCCCAGGACTTGAACCCGGGGCCTGGGCGCTGTCACTGTCCCTGAGCTGCTTTTGCTCAAGGCTGGTGCTCTACCACTTGAGCCACAGCGCCACTTCCACCTTTTGCTGGTTCATTGGAGATCAGAGTCTCACGGACTGCCTGGGCTTGGCTGTGAACCACGTTCCTCCGGATCTCAGCCTCCCGAGTAGCTGGGAACAGAGCCTTGTTCATTGGTGTATAAGTTGCCCGTCCCTGCCCAAGGGTGCCTGAGCTGTGATCTGGGGGCTCAGCCACCCCCGACTCCCAAATCAGTGCTCGCCTCCCACCACCCAGGAATACTGGTGGCCGAGGCTGGACTTCCGAGTCCCGAGGCTGGCCTCCCCCCCCTTCCTTCCCCCCTGACCTGGCACGCTGCATTTGAGGCTCTGGCTGACCACGCCGGTGTCGTTCTCCTTCTCGGCCGGCCAGTGATAGACGTAAACAGTTGTGCGGGAAGAGCCAGCGTCCAGGACCACGCCATACTGTCAGAGCGCGAAGGGGGGGGGGGGAACTCAGTGGGGGAGGCCGGGCCTCCCGGGGGAGGGGGGGAAGAGAAGCCCACAGAGCGGACACTCCTCCAGGCGGGCCCAGGAGGAAATTGAGCAGAGAAGTTGAGCCGGGCCGGGCAACGACACTCGCGCCTGTCATCCAAGCCATATCATGATGGAGGAGGCTGCAATCCGGAGGATCGCGGTTGGAGGCCTGGCCCAGGGCAGGTGAGTTCAAGCCCCGTGGTCCCAACTTCTCCCATGCCCGGTGACATCAGTATTCTGGTCTGAACCGGTTCCTGATCTCAGAACCTCAGCCCAGGAAATTCGATCTGGCTGGGCTGGGGATTTTCCTGTTTGTTTTTATAAGGTGAACAAGGAGGCATTGTTCACCACCTGCACCTCCTGGCCTGGCCTGGCTGGCAGGGGGTGAAGGCCAGAGACCTCTGTGTTCCATCCCCCCTGCCTTGGTCATGGGACTTGAACTCAGGGCCTGGGCGCTGCTGTCCCTGAGCTGCTTTTGCTCAAGGCTGGTGCTCTACCACTTGAGCCACAGAACCACTTCCTGCTTTTTGCTGCTTCCTTGGAGGTCAGAGTATCACGGGCTGGCCTGGAACCTTGATCCTCCGGATTTCAGCCTCCTCCTGACTCCCTTTCTGGCCCCTCCTGTGTTGCCCCAGCCAGGCCACTCACCTTCAGCCCTGGGGGCTGGGGCGGCGTCCGCCATGTCTGCACCAGTGCCACGGTCAGCAGCACCCCCACACTGACCAGCAGCACCGCCAGCGCCAGGACAGCTGGCGTCCGGGACAGGACCCTGAGGCCTGCGGTGGAGATGGAGAAGACCAGACAGTGAGGCTGGGGGATATCAGGAGGAGGCTGAGATCCGGAGGATCGCGGTTCAAGGCCCAGCCTGGGGCAGGAAAGCCCACGAGACTCTGATCTCCAAGGAACTGCCAGAAAAACGGACGTGGCGCTGTGGCTCAGGTGGTTGAGTGCTTCAGCGATTTCCAAGGGCAAAAGAAAAAAAGAAGAAATCCATACAAAGCTATAATTAGGAGCGAGGTGATGACCGAGCAGCCTGGGAGAGGAGCATGGAGAGCAACGCCGGCCGCTCTGTCATTAACGCCGGGCAGCGAGGGCAGACACAGCACACACACACACCAATAAAACGAGATGAAAGGCCGGGCGCTGCTGTTCACGCTTGGATGGATGTCCCCGCCCCTGGGCAGGCTGAGATCCGGAGAATCGCTGTTCCTTCCCCGCCAGCCTGGGCTGGGGAGGGGGGGGTGGGCAGAAAGGTCCATGAGACTGCTCTCCAAGAAAAGCCCACCAAAAGACAGACGGCGCCGTGGCTTGGGTGGAACAGCACCAGCCTTGAACTTTGAAGGAGCTCAGGACCAGTACCAGGGGTCCGTGAGTTCAAGACCCACGAGTGGCACAAATAATAAAGTACCCCCGCACCCCACCCTCCCTGCCCTACTCACCCGCCCTCGGGCTGGGCTGCCAGGTCGCCACCTCCAACATCTTGATTTGATTCTAGTTCTTCTTCCTTCTCCCGGCTGCAGGGAGGAGAAGAGAGGGTGAACCAGCCATGGATGGGGGGAGGGGGGGGGAGGCTGAGGTCAGGAGGACAGTGGGACGAGGCCCAGACCCTGCTTAGGAGGAGAAAGCCCAGTGTTAGCGCGCACACACACACACACACACACACACACACATACACACACACACACACCCTCTCCCTCCTCACCTGGGCCCAAGGCTGCTGCTGTCCCTTTAACATGGAAGCCTCCGCCCCGCGCAGCTCCAGCATCGCAACCCATCTCAAAAGCTGGGGTGCAGAACTCAGGGGTGTTTCGGTGTCTAGGGCTCTGGGTTCCTCTCCCCCAGCCCAGCCCAGCCCCAGGGCCCTGGCCCCTGGCCCTCACCTGAGATCAGACCTTCACCTGCCGCCGCCGCCACCGCCACCCAGCGAGCTCCGGGGAGGGGGGGAGGGGGAGAGGCGGGGCCTCAGGCCAGGACGGTGCAGTAGCCCTGCACCCCGCTTCCCTGGGGCCGGGGTATAGAGGGGCCTGGCCTCCTCTGTCCCCCATTCCATCCTGGGCTCAATTGTTTATCCATCCATCCATCCATCCATCCATCCATCCATTCATCCATTTGTCTGTGGTTCAAAACGGGTGTTCCACCACCTGCACCATGCCGCCCTTCTGACTTTCTGCTGTTTAACTGGAGATCAGTCTCAGGGGCTGGCCTTGAATGGCGATCCTTTGGATCTCAGCCTCCCAGTGGCTGGGATGCCAAGTGAAGGCTGGTGATGAAGCTGTGGGCAGGACAGCCCCGACCCCCTGTGCCTTAGTTTCCCCCCTGCACTTACGTCTCCCTGGGCAGGGCACTGGACTGGATGCAGGCTGGCTCCATGGAACCCAGACATGCCAGGCTGCCACTGTGACCAGAAACCAGGCCAGTAATCCAAGACTCCACCTAGAAACCTCCACTCACCGCACACAGGGCCTGAGCCTATCATCTCTACAACATCTCAGGAGGCTGAGATCCTGAGGATCGGGGTTCCAGGCCAGCTTAGGGGCAGGAAAGAGCACAAGACTCTCATCTCCAATGAAACCACCAAAAATCAGAAGTGGCGCTGTGGCTCAAGTGGTAGAGCACCAGCCTGGAACAAAAAAAAACAAAACACAACCAAGCAGCTCAGGGACAGCACCCAGGGCCTGAGTTCTAGCCCCAGGACTGGCAAAATAAAAAGAAAACCCAATTACAAAAGGAAGTTAATCTGATTTCCTCCCATCTAATGATTTTTTTTCCCCTCTTTACTTTCTTTAATGCACCAAATTACAGTGATTATTTTCACATTGATTATCTTCCCATTTCTGAAATGAATCCATATTATTCTTTTAATCCGCTGCTTGACTCATTTGTTAGGAATATATGTTTATGAATATTGTTGCTAGTTTTAATATAATGCATCTCGCTGTTATATACGTAACATGTTTTGTTTTTTTTGCTGTGGTTGCTCATGGAACTTGAACTCAGGACCTGGGTGCTGTCCTTGAACTTTTATGCTTGAGTCTGGTGCTCTACTACTTCAATCACAGCTGTACTTCCAGGGTTTCTAGGTGGTTCGTTGGAGATGAGAGTCTCACAGACTTTCCTGCCTGGGCTGGCTTTGAACCGCGATCCTTAGATCTCAGCCTCCTGAGTAGCTATAATGGCAGGTGGGAGCCACCGGGCACACAGCTAGTTGTTTTTTTGTTACTAAGACAAATCAAACCAGGCATTGGTGGCTCCGGCCCGCCATCCCAGCTACTCAGGAGGCTGAGATCTGAGGATCACAGTTCAAAGCCAGCCTGGGCAGGAAAGTTCATGAGACTTATCTCCAATGAACCACCAGAAAACTGCAAGTGGTGTTGTGGTTCAAGTGGTAGAGCACTGGCCTTGAGCACCAAAGCTCAGGGGGACAGCACCCAGGCCCTCCCAAGTTCAATACCAGGATGGAACAAAATAAACATCCATAAATTAAAGCCATGAGGCGGCTGAGGGACTACGGCCCTTGGCTGGCCATTGGCACCAGCGCCCTAAGCTGATCAGGAGTTTCGCATTTCCTGGATGGGAGGGCTGGGGCTGCGGGGAGAGGCTGAGGGCAGGACAATGAGGAAGGGTTTCTTGGTCCTGCAAGCTGCACCTCCCCAGCCTCGCACCTTCTTCCTGACAAACCAGGGCGTGGGCTTTGTATGTGTGCACACGCACGCACTCACATGCACCTGTGGTGCAACTTGAACTCAGAACCTGAGCACTGAGTTTCTTCACACAAGGCAGGTGCTCTACCACTCGAGCCACACCTCCACTGCTGGCTTTTTGGTGGTTACTTACCATCAAATCCTCTGCTTTGTCTGCCCAGGGCTGGCTTCGATCCAGGTTCTTCAGATTTCAGCCTCGGGAGGAGCCGAGATGACTGGGCTGGGGTGTGTATGTGTGTGTAAAGCCATCTTAGAAGGTGGGCCTCCGGTTGGTTTGGGACTGAGACACAAACAATCTGGCTGAGACTCCATTTCCAGTGGAGCAGCCAAAAGCACAGCTGGAGGCGTGGCTCAAGAGGGACCACCCAAGCCCAGTGCTGGGTTGGGGACCCCCTAGTTCAAAACCAGTGTTTTGTAAAACATGAACGGAAATCAGTTTGGCCGGGCGCCGTGGCTCACGTCTGTCATCCCAGCTACTCAGGAGGCCGAGAGCTGAGGATTGCGGTTCAAAGCCAGCCTTGGCAGAAAGTAAACCAGCAGAAACCGGAATTGCCACTGTGGCTCAGGTGGTAGAGCGCCAGTCTTGAGTTCAAAGAAGCTCAGGGACAGCGCCCAGGCCCTGAGTTCAAGCCCTAGGACCAGCAAATAAATGAGTAAATAAGCATCTTGCTGGCGTGGGGAGGGCAGTGGATGGATGAGTATATACTCTTGCTCTATTTTTCCTGCCCTGGACTGGCTTTGAACTGTGATCCTCCAGATCTCAGCCTCCTGAGTAGCTGGGATGCCAGGCGTGAGCTGCCGGTGCCTGGCTTCTTGCTATATTGATTTTCATCCATCAGTAAAGGAAAAAAGAACGCATATGCGCAAAGCTGTGGATTTCTGGGTTCAGGAGCAGCTAGGGTGACTCAGAGCATGCCTGCAGCTTCCTACCTTCCCGCGAGGCAGAGGAGAGGCTGTGTGCAAGGCTGAGCTGCCGTGCGCAGGCTGCGGGGCTCAGAGAAGGAGTCGGAGGCCTTTTTTATTGTTAAGCGCAACATACATGGTTTAATACAACAACAACAACGAAAAACACCACATTGGAATCGAGTGAAAAGCCATCAACGGAACATCAACAGAGCGCACACTCAGAACGAAACCTTCTCCACTGGAGACACGGCGAGATGCGCGGGGGTCCGCGGCCACCTCACGGCGATCTTCTTCTGCGTCACGAGCCCCCTGGCCCCGGGCTCCCTGGGGTCGCAAGGGGGGAAGCCGGGGGTGGAGTGAGGACAAAAGGGACAAGTCCGTTCCCTGCAGAGAGCCATGTCACAAGGCGGCCACGGGGTGGGGGGTAGGAGGGTAGGGGGAAGAAAAATCACGCGTGAGCTTCTTCATGCGGGGAGGCGCGCTCAGAAGCCATGGACCTTCAGCTGCTCCTCCTTCACAATGCCAACCTGCAGAGCAACGGGAATGCGGGGCTGGGAAGGTGGCTCAGGGGGTCGAGCACTGGCCTAGCATGCATGAAGTTCTGGGTTCGAGTCCTCAGGACCATGCATACACAGAAAGCTGGCAGTGGTGCCGGGGTTCAAGTGGTAGAGCACCAGGCTTGAGCAAATGAAGTCCAGGGACGGTATCCAGGCCTTGAGTTCCAGACCCAGGACCAGTGCACACATGTGCGCATGTGCACGCATGATCGATCTACTGTCTTCAGATGAAGCACCCAAAGCACATGTGGTCTAGCTCCCTGTTTACTTCATTGCCAGGATCTCTCTCTTGGCAGTGAAAATCCTTCCCAAGAGCAACCTCAGGGATGCATCGCGTACTCACCTCCAAGAGGAACTGGCAGATGTTCTTTCTCTGGTCGCCTTGAAGCTGAATGACCTCGCCGTACTCCGGGTGCTCAATCACAGTGCCATTACAGGCGAATTTCTACACGACACAAACAGCATGTCAGCCGCTGTGGAGGACCGGCGTGGCCTACTCACTTTTGGTTGTTGATGATGATCGTGAGGCTTGAACTCTGGGCCTGGACTCTGTCCCTGCGCTCTTAGCTCAAGGCGAGCTCGCTACCACCTGAGCCAAAGCACCACTTCTGGTTTCTTAGTGGTTTATTGGAGATCAGAGTCTCACGGACTTTTCCTGCACAGGATGGCTTTGAACCATGATCCTCAGATCTCAGCCTGCTGAGGAGCTAGGATTATAGGCGCGAGCCACCAGAGCCTGGCTTAAATTATTATTATTGGGCTTGAACTCAGGGACTGGGCGCTGCCCCTGAGTGTCTTTTTGCTCAAGGCCAGCACCCTACCACTATGACCACCATTTGCAGTTTTTGAACAGTTCTCACTGGGGATAAATAGTCTGACACATTTTCTTGCCCTGGCTGGTTCTGAACAGTGATCCTAGATTCTCAGCCTTCTGAGAGGCTGGGATAACAGGTAAGAGGCACTGGTGCCCAGCTTCCTCCTCCCATTTTATTTCTACTTATTTTTCCAAGTGTGGGGCTTGAACTCAGAGCCCGGGTGCCATCTGTAAGCTTTTTTTTTTGTCGGTCATGGGTCTTGAACTCTGGGCCTGGGTACTGTCCTTGAGCTCTTCAGCTCAAGGCCAGTGCTCTACCAACTGAGCCACAGCGCCACTTCTGATTTTCTGGTGGATCATTGGAGCCAAGAGTCTCACTGCCTTTCCTGCCCAGGCTGGCTTTGAACCGGGATCCTCAGATCTCAGCTTCCAAGCTCTGCCTGTACCTATTTATTTATTTTTTTGGGGTCCGGTCGTGGGGCCTGAACTCTGGGCCTGGGCGCTGTCCCTCAGCTCTTCAGCTCAAGGCTAGCGCTCTACCACTTGAGCCACAGCGCCACTTCCGGCTTTTATCTTTTTGCTTATGTGGTGCTGAGGAATCGAACCCAGGGCCTCAGGCATGCAAGGCAAGCGCCCTACCACTGAGCCACCTTCCCAGCCCTGTCGCCTGTACCTTTTTAAAGGCCTTCACCAGCTTCTTCTTGTCATAGTCGTCGGCGATGCCCTGCACGGTGGTGAGCGTCTTCCGCCCGTTGCGCTGCTGGATTCTTATATGGATGTAGTCCTCGGTGCCCGCGGGGAGCAAGTCGTCACCCTTAGTTGCATCAGCGAAGGGGTCTGTGGGGAGGAGACAGTGGGCCGGAGCACAGAAACCATGCTTAGCAAGAACTTTCTAGAAATGAGGTGCACCATGCAGGGTGATGTGTACAAATGCAGGTGGGGACCTGAGCGGAGAGATAATTCAGTAAGAATTTCAGATTAAGAAAAGAATAAAAGCTGGGCGCTGGTGGCTCACACCTGTCATCCTAGCTACTTAGGAGGCTGAGATCTGAGGATCACGGTTCAAAGCCAGCCCGGGACAGAAAAGTCTGTGAGACGCTGATCTCCAAGAAACAACTAGAAAACCGGAAGTGGCGCTGTGGCTCAAGTGGTAGAGCGCTCCCCTTGAGCTGAAGAGCTGAGGAACAGCGACCAGGCCCAGAGTTCAAGCCCTACGACGGACCAAAAAGAAAAAAAAGAAAAAACTCATGGGCTGGGAAGGTGACTTAGTGGTAGAGCGCTTCATGCATGAAGCCCTGGGTTCCATTCCTCAGACCACGTCAGCAGAAAAAGTCGGAGGTGGTGCTGTGGCTCAAGTGGTAGAGCACCAGCCTTGAGCAAAAGCAGCTCAGGGAACAACACCCAGGTCTGAGTTCAAGCCTCAGGACTGGAAAAATAATAATAATGTCGAGATTTAGTCCCCAGCCTTTTTGATAAATAGGAAAAAATCAATCCCAAATGGACCTTTACCCTTATAGGAAGGATGCAGAAACAGGCGACTAAATTCATGGTCCACGCAATTTCCACACGAGGGAGAGAAAGGTCACGGGGGACCCCAGGATGGGCAAAATGCTGACACTAATGACACGCTAATGACACCAGGCAGTGCACAGCGGGCCCCCGTGTGGAGCCCCCGCCCCCCTGGGGAGGGGGGGTGGAGGCGGTGCGCGCGCATGCGCAAGCCCGCGCAGGCCGCGGGGCGTCCAGGCTCCGGGGTCGCCGGGCCGGGCCGGGCCGGGCCGCGCGCGCATGCGCCGTGGGGACGGAGGGGGGGCGCGCCGCCGCCATGTTGGCGGCGGGCCGGGGGCTGCGGGCCGGGGTCGGGGCCGGGGCGGAGGACGGCCTTACCGAAGGATTGGAGATTCTGAATAGTGGACATGCGACACTAGTGTGAGGCCCGGCCGAGGCGGGGGGGGGGAGGGGACAGCAAGTGGCTGGCGGCGGCCGCCCGGGTCTCCGCGTCGGGAGGCTGCAGCCGCGGCGGACGACGGGCGGGACGAGGGCGGCAGGTGACGCTGCGGGGCCGAGACGCGCGCGAGGGAGCGAGCGGGGCTGGGGGAGGAGGGGCCCGCGAGCGGAGGGCGGACGGACCGACCGACGGGCGGACGGGGACAGGCGGACGCGGCGGCGGCGGCGGCGGCCAGACGCGAGCCGGGAGGCGGGCGCTGCGGTTTCTCCTCCAAGATGGCCGCCGCCGCCGCCCACGTGACGCCCCGCCGCCGCCGCCCCGCCCACCTAAGCCCTGGAGGCCCCTCCCCGGGGCGTGGTCTGGAGGGGGTTGATTGACGTCGCTCAGCATCTTTCGGGGCCCCGCCTTTGTGCCGCGGCCCCTCCCCCGGGGCAAGGTCAGAGAGTGATTGGTAGCTCGTTGCATTTTTTTTTTCCAGAGCTCCGCCTTTCGTCCCATAGACCGCCCACACACCCATCGAGGTCCCTCCCCAGGGCGTGGCCAGGGCGTGATTGACATCGTGCAGCGTTCCTCACGGCTCCTCCCTAGGGCGTGGCCAGGGAGTGACTGACATCTTGCTGCACCTTTCATAGCCCCGCCTTATGGTCCAGGGCGTTCCTCACGGCTCCTCCCTAGGGCGTGGCCAGGGAGTGACTGACATCTTGCTGCACCTTTCATAGCCCCGCCTTAGGGTCCAGGGCGTTCCTCACGGCTCCTCCCTAGGGCGTGGCCAGGGAGTGATTGACATCTTGCTGCACCTTTTTTTCTTTTTTTTTCCTGTCAGTTGTGGGGCTTGAACTCTGGGCCTGGGCGCTGTCCCTCAGCTCTTCAGCTCAAGGCCAGCGCTCTACCACTTGAGCCACAGTGCCACTTCCGGTTTTCTCGTGGTTTATTGGAGATGAGTCTCTTGGACTTTTGTGCCTGGGCTGGCTTTGCACCGTGATCCTCCGATCCCAGCCTCCTGGTTAGTTAGCCAGGGTGACAGGCGTGAGCCACGGTCCCCGGCTCCGTACCCCTTTCATAGCTCCACCTAGGCTCCTCTCCCCAACTCGAGAGGCCCCGCCCTAGGGCGTGGCTGGGAGTGATGGACATTTGCCGCGCCTCTCAGGGCCCTGCCTTTGACCTTGGGCCCGCCTCCCCAGGGGGCGGCCCCCCTCCGCTTCCTCCACCCGGCCCGCATCCTTTGCGCGTTTCCCGGATGTGGGTGCTCTGAACCTGGGTTTGGGCTCCAGCCTCACCCCCAGCGGGGCCCGCGCCCCGGGCACCCCGGAAAACCAGGTCTTGGCCCGTTCCGTGGCCTGGGCCGGTGTTGGGGCGAGCTCAGGCTGGAGGGCCAACACGGAAGGGCGCATCGCGCCTGGGCCTCGAGCCCGCGGCCGGCCGGCCCTGGCCCCTGCGCAAGGCCGGGCTAGGCCTGGCGCCCGGCCGCCCGGAGGCTGGGGCCCGGGCCCGGGGCCCCGTCCGCCATGAAGACACCAGACGGCGCGGAGCGGGCGTGTCTGCTTTATTTCCGCGAGGTCGCGCCACGCATCTTTATCCAGGGGACCGCGCACATCCGGGGACTTCAGCGAGGAAGGCCCGCCCCCTCCGGCGGTAGCCAATGAGGAGGCCGGGGACTGCCCGAGGCAGCCAATGAACACAGACGTTCAAGCAGACCCCACCCCGCTGCAGGGACTGGCAGGGGCGTGGCTCAGCGGGCCGGGCGCCAGCCAGCCGCGAGCCAGCGAGCCGCAGGACCCGGGTTCGAATCCCGGGTTCACACCTAAGAGGAGGCGTGGCTTTGGCAAGTTAAAAAAACAAACAAAACAGAAAACAACCCACCTCTGGCCTTAGTTGTAGGAAAATGACTGGCCAGCTGGGCAGGGGCTCGGTGGCACAGCGCTCGCCTCGCATGCACGGAGCCCTGGGTTCGAGTCCTCAGTGCCACCTGCACAGAAGCGGCCGGAAGGGGCGCTGTGGCCCAAGTGGTGGAGCGCCAGCCTGGAGCTGAGGGGCTGAGGGGCAGCGCCCAGGCCCCGAGTTCAAGCCCCACGACCGGCAAAGAGAAAAACCCCGGTGCGCGCGCAGCCCGTGTCGCGTCGTGCGCGGCTTGCGTGGACGGGGTCGGTCCCTCTGTCCCGTGTCGCTCTCGCGTGCCGGCGGCGTGCACCGAGGCCCTGCGCTCTGACTTGGCGTTGATTCCCCGGCTCAGCGCTGGCGCTCGCCACTTGAGTCACACCTTCTCTTCGGGCTGTGTTTTCTGCTGGGTCACTGGAGATGGAAGGATCGCTCCTCGACTTTCCTGCCCGGGCTGGCTCTGAACCACGATCCTCCCGATCTCAGGCTCCTGAGTCGCTGGGATGACAGGCGGGAGCCACCGGCGCCCGGAAAGACAAAAATACTTGAGTGGTTTGATAGAAACATACACACAGCACTGGTGATGACCTGAGGAAGTTCCCTCTTCCTCACTCTACCTGCCCTTCGCCAGAACTTTCCAGTGCAGTCAACTGGTTACAAGGCAACAACAGCAATCACAGTAAGAATACTTAAAAAAAAAACAAAAACGATCTTACAGACGACCCACAGTAGCAAGGCCTGAGACAAGAGATGAGCGCTTGGGCGTGCGGCTCTGCCGGTGAAGCCGGTGCTGGGCGCAGGCTGCTCTCTCCTGGGCTCCGGAGGCAGAGACGGAGGGTGGAGGCGGCCCAGGGCCCGAGGCTGGAGATGGCTTTCCTGGCGTGTGCGTGGGCTGACGGCCCGGGCGCGGGCGGGCGTGGAGGGAAGGCACTGGCGTGTGCGGCCCACGCAGTACTACTGGCAGGCTCCCCGGGTCACTGTGTGGCAGCCGACTCCACGGCAGGCTCCTGGGGAGACACCGTAGTCTCGGCGCGAGAGCGCACGTGTGTGTGTGCGCGCGCGTGCGTGCGTGTGTTCAGAGAGGGTCGTACAACTTAAGTCTCTTGCAGCAGGGACAGGGTTTGTGTTGGGTTTGGGAATTGTTCTTCGGGGTTCGAGGGCTCACGGTGACGCAGGTCAGGGACAGATCCGTTTACTTTTTGCACAATGTCACCTGAATTTAGTGACAAACTGGTGTGAAGTTTCCTTCCCTCCCTCCCTCCCTTCCTTTCTGCCAGTCCCCGGGCTTGAACTCAGGGCTTGCACGCTGTCCCTGAGCAATTTCCACTCAAGGTTGGTGGCTCTACCCCTTCTGAGCCATATAGATGGCACCGTCTCGGGTTTTCTGGTGGTTCCTTGGCCATAAGAGTCTCAAAAGGACTTTTCTGCCCAGGCTGGCTTCGAACCATGATCCTCCAGATCTCAGCCTCCTGAGGGGCTGCAATGGCAGGCGTGAGCCACCAGCGCCACTCTCGTTTTTTTTTTTTTTTAAAATACTGTCCATTCAATCCAAAAGAGACCACAAGACCTGCAGATCTTCCAGCGTGAGCTATAGAAGGCTCTAGCACATAGGTAGCTTCTGGAAGGAAAGGGAAGGGTGGTTAGAAAGAGGAACTTACCCCCGAGTCCTGGGTGGTGATTTTTCTCTCTGCAGGCCTGTTTGACGGGCAACAGCCTTGGAGAACAAAATTGCGGTTAAATGTTTTAATGTCAGTCATGGACGATGCTTCTAGTTTTTCAGCTGAAAGGAACAAAAACACCCAAACACAACATTGTCAGTAACTGTTTTGCAGAAAGTGGAATATTAGTAGGGAAGGAAGAGGAGGGGGGAAAAGCATCCCATTCCTGTACAAGTCTGACTGTTGGCTCTTTGCATCTTTCCCACCCAATAGTTCAAAAACATTACTATTATTCAGTTGATACTGTGGCTCAGTGGTAGAGCGTTCACCTAGCATGCATGAAGCCCCGGGTTCGATTCCTCAGTACCACACACACAGAGAAAGCCGGAAGTGGTGCTGTGGCTCAAGTGGTAGAGCGCTAGCCTTGCATGCATGAGGCCCTGGGTTCGATTCCTCAGCACCACATAAACAGAAAAAGCCGGAAGTGGCGCTGTGGCTCAAGTGGTAGAGCGCTCGCCTTAAGCTGAAGAGCTGAGGGACAGCGCCCAGGCCCAGAGTTCAAGCCCCATGACCAACACGAAAAATCAATCAATCAATCAATCCATCCCCATTCCTGTCTGAGTTATTCCAGATGAGTGAGTTGAACTCGGTCCTCTGCGGTCTCCCAAAGTCGTACCTTTCAAAGGAGGAGCAGGCAATTTCCGTCTTAGCTGTCTGGACGTGTCTATAGTTTGGACCTGCAAACACAACGCAAATCACCAACACATCTTCAGGTTTGTTTTGGCTTTTTGTTTTTTTTTTGCCAGTCCTGGGGCTTGAACTCAGGGCCTGGGCGTTGTCCCTGAGCTGCTTCTGCTCCAGGCTAGCGCTCTATCCCTTGAGCCACAGCACCACTTCTGGCTTTTTCTGTGTCTGTGGTGCTGAGGAATGGAACCCAGGGCTTCTTGCATGCTAGGCGAGCACTCTACCACTGAGCCACCTTCCCAGCCATCGACCCATTTTTGGAACCAAAACTATTTTGTTAATTTTGTGCTGTTCCCTGTGACTTGAACTCAGAGCCTGGCCGCTTGTCCCTGGGCTGCTTTTGCTCAAGGCAATGCTCTACCACTTGAGCCACAGCGCCACTTCTGGTTCTCTGGTGATGGATTCACTGGAGGGAAGAGTCTCATGGACTTTCCTATTCTAGGCTGGCTTTGATCCTCTGTCCCCCAGATCTTAGCCTCCTCCTGAGTCCCTGGGAGGTTTATCTTTAGCATTCTGTGGATTTTCTGGGGGAGGGGGGGGGTTGGGGGGGAGCTGCACGCACCGGGTTGCTCTGCTTCTGCTCGCGTTTTCTGGTGAGGCGTCCGCACGGCGCGATGTTCAGGCCCGCGATGGTGAGCGCAGAAATGCGGCTCTCGATGTCCGAGATCTGAAGGCATGAGGAGACATAAATTGAGCGCAGTCGACAGGGCGGGGCGCGCTGGCTACACACAGCGCGCTGGCTGCGCGTCAGGCTTGCACACGCGTGCTCACACTCACGCTCTCCACGCCACCTGGCACTTGGGCACTAAAGGAAAACTGAACACTCCAAGTGTTTCCTTGGTGAGTTTCAAATTCCACTTTGGGCCGGGCACTGTGTGGCTCACGCCTGTCATCCCAGCGACTCTGGAGGCTGAGATCCGGAGGATCGTGGATCGAAGCCAGCCTGGGCAGGAAAGTCTGAGAGATTCTTATCTCCCATGAACCACCAGAAAACCCGAAGTGGCGCCATATCTAGGGCCCAAAGCGGTGGAGTGTCCACCGTGAGCTGAAGAGCTCAGAGACAGCGGCCAGGTCCTGAGTTCAAGGTCCACGACAAACACACAGGAAGAGGGATTGTGCTGCGGCGTGGTTTCCCGCTTCTTCCCTCACCTGCAGCTCGGCGTGGTGCACGCGCGCAGCGGCCGTGGCCGCCTGGTCCTCCAGCTCCGCCAGCTCCGCCTCGTTGGTGTGGCTGTGGATGCCCCGGGCCGCGTCCTCCAGCTCGCTCAGCTGGCCCTCCAGGCTGTACACAGTCCCCGCGGCTAGGTACACCTGTCGGAAGAGATCGGGAGGATCGCGGTTCAACGCCAGCCCGGGCAGGAAAGTCCCTGAGACCTCTGATCTCCACTACACCACAAAAAGCAAAACCAAAAGTGGCCCTGTGGCTCAAGTGGTAGAGCACCAAAAAAAAAATCTCAGGGTCAGTGCCCAGGCCCTGAGTTCCAATCCCAACACTGTTCCCCGCCCCCCCCCCCAAAAAAAAAGGCATCTCAGGGACTTTTTCTGCCCTGGGGCTGGCTGTGAACCACGATCCTCTGGATCTCAGCCTCCTGAGTGGCTAGGATCTCAAGGTCTGAGCCACTAGGGTGTGGCTGGACTGCTGTTTTTGACACTGTACTGGTCCAGAAACGTGTGTGTGTGCGCGCGCGTGTCCACACGGGGCGAGCCCCGTGGATGGTGGACGGGCATCTCAGCCTCCTCCGCCCTGGGCAGACTCCCTTCCTCTTACATTTCCTTCCAGGGCGGTGAGCTGTCGGTCCAGGCTGTCACAGTCGGCCCCGCGGGGCAGAGCTCCCTGCGCCGTGTCGGGGGGGCGCGGCGTGGGGCCCGTGGGCTCGTCCAGGAGCGCCTCGGCGGCGTTGATGAGCTTGAGCACTTCTGTGGAGATGTTGCAGAGAGAAACAGCAGAACACTTCTGTGTGGCCAACACACACGGCGGTGGGGGACAGAAGACAAGAGCCGCACATTAACCGGGACGCGCAGGTGTCTGCGTCACCCTGGCGCGAGGCACGCACCCACGCATGCACGCACGCACGCAGACACGGACGTGGGGGAAAGGACAAGGAGATGGGAGGAAAGGAAAGTACACAGAGGAAGGGGAGGCTCAGGACTGGCTGACTCCGGCCTCGCTGCTGAGATTTACCAGGAATGTTCTAGAATCACAGGGAGGGCGGAGAGGTGAGCAGAGGCTGCTCAGTTGCCTGCCCACTGCTGGTGGGATGAGGGCTTGAACCCAGGGCCCAGCCACTGTCCCTTTATTTTCCCTCAAGACTGGCTCCCTGCTGGCCTCTGAGCCACTCAGGAGGCTGAGATCGGGAGGATCGGGGTTCGAGGCCAGCTCGTGTGGAGAAATCCGTGAGACTCCAGTGAACCACCAAAAAGCTGGATGGAATTGGAGCTGTGGCTCAGGTGGTAGAGCCAAAAAGCCAAACAAGAGCACCAGGCCCCCGAGACGACACAGACATTGAAACAGAATGATCTGTGTCTTGCTAGTCCTCTCCTGACTCCAAGCGCAACAAAAAAACACCAGTGGGAGGCTGAGGCAGGCTTCAGTCTTGCTGGTACAGCCTGGACTAGTGCTTGAACTCAGGGCTGGGGCACTGTCCCTTAGCTTTCTGTTTTTTCCCTCATGGTACTCTACCCCTTGAGTCAGAGCTCCACTTCTGGCTTTCGTTGGTGACTCATCAGAGAGCACAGCATTTGGATCTTCCTGCCCAAGCCGGCTTCTAACCCCGATCCTCCGACCTCAGCCTCCTGAGTGGCTAGGATGGCAGGTGTGAGCCTTGGTGCCCGGCCCTGTGTGTGTGTGTGTGTCTGGGCTCCAGCCCCAACCCCTGGCCCCTGGGCTGCAATGGTGGGTTGGAGGAGAGCAGCTCACCTGCTCCAGCACCGCCGACAGGAGCTGCAGCTCGGAGCTCACCCCGCTCTCGGCTCTGCCATTCTTGGGCCGCAGGGAAAAAAAGAGAGAGAAGATGACCTGTTAACTCCTCAGTGGCCAGGGGAGAGGAGACGGCGATCCTAATATAGTATTGTACTGTATGATAGCACATTGTCATAGCTGTATTACCACCAATAGTGCACCATAGCAACTATCACGTTATGGTTCTATAACGACGTGCTAGAACCAGCGTAATGCTATTATGTAGTAACATACCCTACCTTCTTCAGCTCATGGGGTGCATGCCGGGTACCTCCATTGCTGTCGCTCGCCGCGCCTTCCCCCCGGCTCCCCGATTCCCCCTGGGGCCCACACCCCGGCTCCTCCCCCGACGACGTCTCCTCCTCCTCCTCCTCGCTCATTTTCCCGCCCAGCTCAGGGCGTCCGCTGCTCCTCCGCTCCTTGGCCAGGACATGTGGACAATTGGTCTCTGCAAAGTCACCAGACGCCTGCGGAGTGGGGGGTCGGGGGGGCAGCATGGTGAGCCACACATCCCCGCTCCTCCCTCTCCCCCATCTCTTTCGTGCCGGTACTGGGGCTTGAACTCAGGTCCTTGCACTCTCCCTTCTTTTGCTCGAGGCTAGTGGTGCTCTACTACTTGAGCCACAGCTCCTGTCCCGTTTTTGCTTCTGGCTGCTGCGTTGGAGATGAAGACTCCTCACTGGACTTTCCTGCTTGGGCTGGCCTTGAACCACGATCCTCTAGATCTCAGCCTCCTGAGCAGGGCGACAGGAGGGTGACTCCAAGAGACAAAAGTAACAAACCCAGCGCGGCAGCCTGGCAGGCAGCCATGACCCAGCTAGCAGGGTGCACAGAGATTCCAGCTTTTGAGCCATGCTCTGGTGGCTCATGCCCAGCATCCCAGCTACTCAGGAGACTGAGATCCAGAGGATCGCAGTTCAAAGCCAGTGCCGGGGAGGAAAGTCCATGAGACTCTTGAGCTCCAATGATCCACCAGAAAGCGGGAAGTGGTGCCATAAACAAATAAATAAATGCGGATCAAAGTGGTAGAGCACCAGCTGTGAGCAAAAGAACTTAGGGACAATGCCCAGGACCTGAGTTCGAATCCCACCAGTGACAAAAATTTTTAAAAATGACAAAATTAGGTGGCGTGGGTGCGGCGGTGAGTGTGCACGGTGCACAGCTCTCTTACCGCGTGTGCGTGCGGATCCCGGGCTGCGGCTCCGTCGGGCTCCTGGGCGCTGGGGCCCCAGGCCCTCCTCCAGCGCTTGGCCCTGCGGTCGGCGGGGCGCAGCGCGTCCTCTTGCTCGCTGCTGTCCGAGGTCTCCCCGCGCGGGGCCTGCGGGTTCGAGTTCTCATCCAGCCCTCCCCAGGGGCGCGCTGTGTCGGTGGCAGGGTTTTGGGGTGCCCTCCTCTGCAGCCACGACAGCCTGGCCCGGCGCCCCGCCTCCCGGGATGAGCCGGCCGAGGAGGTCTCGGAGTCGGAGCCCGTGGCCCCGGGGTGCGGGGGGCGGCCCCGGGACGGGGAGGTGGGGTGCAGCTTGCTCGGGGTGTGGCTCCAGTCCGGGTCATCCTCGCTGTCGGAGGCCACGCCGTCGTAGGCGGAGGGCGCGCTGCAGGCGGCCGCCAGGGCCCGCAGGGCGCCGGCCCGGGGCGCGGCCAGCCCGCGCGTGGGGGGCAGTGTGCCCCCCGCTACTGCCGCCCAGTTCCCGTCGGGGCTGTGCAGGGCGGGGGCCGCCCGGCCTGCTGGGAGGGGGGCACGGCGTGAGGGGTCACCCCGGAGCGGGGCTCTGGGGCGGGAGGAGCGGGCTCACAGCCGCCCGCGCAGGCAGGCGAGGCGGCGGGGGGCGGCGCGGGCGGAGCGGCGCCTCGCACGCACGAGGCCCTGGGCTCCGCTCCCCAGCACCACACAGAGCGGGGCATGGCGCTGAGGCTCAGGTGGTAGAGCGCCAGCCTCAACCACGAACCAGATGACGAGCTGCGTGGAGTGTCGGGGGTGGTGTGGGTGTGCGCATGCGCGCGTGTCGTGAGTGCGCGCATGCGCGTGTCGGAGTGGGTGTGTGGGCGCATGCGCGCATGTCGAGTATGGGTGTGTGCGCGCGCATGCGCGTGTTGAGTGTGGGTGTGTGCGCGCGCATGCGCGCGTCAGGGGTGTGTGCATGCGCGTGTGTGGGGTGTGTGTGCACGCATGCGCACGTGTCGGGGGGCGTGTGTGCGCGCATGCGCGTGTGTCGGGGGTGGGTGTATGGGGGGGTGCGCGCATGCGCGTGTCGGGGGGGTGGATGTGCGCGCGCATGCGCGTGTGTCGGGAGTGGGTGTGGGCGCGCATGTGCGTGTGTCGGGGGTGGGTGTGGGCGCGCATGCGCGTGTGTCGGGGGTGGGTGTATGGGGGGGTGTGCGCGCATGCGCCTGTGTCGGGGGTGGGTGTGCGTGCGCGCATGCGCGTGCCGGCCCGCCCCCACGCACCTGCTCCGGGCAGCCCGTCCACGCTCCTCCATCCGGGCCCGGCCCGCAGGGCGGCCTCCCCGGCCCCGGCCAGCGCCAGCTCGGACCGGGATCGCTGCGGGAGGAGGAAGGGGGTGAGCGAAGCCCGGGGCTCGAGCCGGCGCGGCACGGGGGGCTGGGGGGTCACTCACCCCGAGCGCGGCGGCGGCGGGCGCCTGGCGGGGGCGCGCGGGCCGGGAGGCCTCGGGGCTGCGGCTCCTCTGCCTCCGGATGATCTGGGGGCGGGGGGGGGGGGGTGAGGGGTCGGCCGGGGTCGCCCCCCCCCCCCCCCGCCGCCGCGCGCGCCCTCGCACCTTGTGCACGATGGCGCCGGCCAGCTCCTCCGTCAGCTCGTCGCGGTGCTCCCGCAGGTAGCGCGCCTCGTCCTGCTGCTCCTGGACGAGGGGGGGGGGGGCACGATGCTCTCGCGAGATCTCCGGGGAGCGCCCCCCCCCCCAGGAAACACCCGCCCGGCGAGGTGGAAGCGCGCCCGGAAGCTGGGCCCGCCCGGGAAGTCCCCCCAGGAAATGAGCCCCCCCCAGGAAGGAGGCCCGCCCCGGGAGGAAGTCCCCCCAGGAAGCTGATCCCCCCAGGAAGGAGGCCCGCCCGGGGAGGAAGTCCCCCCAGGAAGCTGATCCTCCCCAGGAAGCTGATCCCCCCCCAGGAAGCTGATCCCCCCAGGAAGGAGGCCCGCCCGGGGAGGAAGTCCCCCCCAGGAAGCTGATCCCCCCAGGAAGGAGGCCCGCCCGGGGAGGAAGTCCCCCCAGGAAGCTGATCCCCCCAGGAAGGAGGCCCGCCCCGGGAGGAAGTTCCCCCAGGAAGCTGATCCCCCCCCCAGGAAGCTCCTCCAAGCTGGAAGGAGGCCCGCCCGGGGAGGAAGGAGGCCCGCCCGGGGAGGAAGGAGGCCCGCCCGGGGAGGAAGGAGGCCCGCCCGGGGAGGGGTTCGATCAGGAAGCGAGCCCGATCGCGGGCGCAGGCCCGACGGGGAAGGAAGTCCCGCAGCGAGGAAGCGCCGCCAGGAGGCAGATCCTACCCGGAAGGAAGTCCTACCAGGCTGTCCCCGTGCGCGTCCGCCCTGCAGATGGCCTCCTCCACGGCCTCTCCGGCCACGCGCAAGGCCACAGCCAGGGTGTCCATCAGGCCGGGTCCTGGGCGGGGAGGCCGCAGCACGCCCGTCAGCGCCCCGGGCTGCCCCGGCAGCGCCAGGCTGCTGCGGCGCCGGCCCCGCCGCGCACCTCCCGCCCGGCACTCTCACCCCGCGCCCCGCCACCACACATGCTGAATTTTTTTGGGGGGGGGGGGTGGTGGTTGGTCATGGGGCTCGAACTCAGGGCCCGGGCACTGTCCCTGAGCCTCCTATGTGACACCACTTCTGGTTCTCTGGTGGTTCACGGAGGTCAGAGTCTCACAGATTTGCCTGCCCTGGGGCTGGCCTCGAACCGCAAGCCTCTACATCTCAGCCTCCTGAGCCAGCTAGAATTGCAGGCTACTGGCGAGCCTGCTGCATTTCACCCAGGAGCATTTCTAGCGTTCTTCCCTGCAGGTGTCTCAAATAATGAGGCTCTGAGAGGGCCACAGTCAAACGCCTCCCCCCCCATTCCAGCCTCCTCTGTTTTTCTATTTAGCATCTTCTAGTTGTGGATCACTCAACTCAAGCAAATCGCGGGTAAGCGGCTGGAAATCCTCAGCGGAATGAGATGGGGTGCTAATTACATCAACTGATGAATGAGGTGCTCACGCCCTTTGACACACACACACACACACACACACACACACACACACACAATCAAAGGCGGGGCCAGGGCGGGAGGGCCAATCAGGAGCACCCGTGAGTGAAATCTGGGTCACAGACAAAATCATCATCATCATTAACAAGTATGATCATAATCAGAGGAGTCTACGATGGCTCTCAGGAGGTCATGGGCTGGCTACGATGGTCAGTAGAGCAAGACATGGATCTAGCCCCCCAGAATCTGTGACACTGCAGTTATTTTTAACCAACTTTCCAAAAGCAGACTTATAAGAAAAAAAATCAAAGGTGTTATCAGACCAAATGCTTCCTGGAGTGATCATTCTCTTGGGGAGCTCACGTGCGCATGCGTGCATGTGTGGGTGTGGGTGTGTGCACGACTTGAACTCAGGACCTGGGCATTCACCCTTAGCTTTTTCTGCTCAAGGCTGGTGCTCTTACCATTGGAGCCACATTTCCATTCCCAGCTTTTATTTATTTATGTATTTTCTTTCCGGTTAATGAGAGGTAAGAATGTCAGGGACTTTCCCGCCCTGGGTGGCTTTGAACTGTGAACCCTCAGGTCTGTTTTCTGAGTAGCTGAGATTGTTAGGTGTGAGCCACTGGTGCCTGACTTACACACGTATTTTTTTTTAAGTCACACCTATTATTTGTATAAAATAATGGCTTTCACTGTGATCTTCTCGTTTTAACTGGGGTGCTAGTCTGGGGTGCTAGCTTCGACTCAAGGTGTCCCCGCCTCACATGGCTCGTTCACTCAAGGATGGCACACCCCCACTTCTGTTAGTTGGTGTTGATAGTCTCCCAGGTTCTTCTCCCCGACGCCCAGCTTCCTAGTTACATTCTCTCTCCTGGATAAGATTGGCTCTTGCTGCGCGAGTAAGTCTCCCTAAGACCCATTGTTTCCATCTGCACAAAGCGGTCATCAAAACAGGGTAACTATGACGAGCATGTGGCTCACGCCTGTCATCCCACCTACTCGGGAGGCTGAGATCCGAGGTGCCTGGTTCAAAGCCAGCCTGGGCAGGAAAGTCTGTGAGACTCTGATTTCCAGGGAACCACCAGAAAACCAGAAGTGGCGCTGTGGCTCAAGTGGTAGAACGCCAGCCTTGAGCAAAAGAGCTCAGGGGCAGCGCCCAGGCCATGAGTTCAAACCCCAAAAAGAATGGAACACGGAGACCAGGCAGTGTTGTCTACCTGAATCTGACAACATTTTCCTAAGCTGCTGTGATATTCTAGACACCTTTACCTTCCGACTGCGGGTAGAAAGTTGAGTCACTGCCAGAAAGACTCCCTTCATTCTCCAGGCTGGACTCAATAAAGCTTCCTCCTAGGTGACACAGACAGACAGACAGACAAGACAGAGATATCAACTGATATCCTACAATGATCAAAGGTCTTTCGTGCCAGGCGCTGGTGGCTCACGCCTGTCATCCTAGCTACTCAGGAGGCTGAGATCTAGAGGATTGTGGTTCAAAGCCAGCCCTGGCAGGGAAGTGTGTTCTCTTTTTTGTTCATTTCGGTCAGTCCTGGGGCTTGAACTCAGAGCCCGGGCACTGTCCCTGAGATTCTTTTGCTTGAGGCTGGTGCTCTACCACTGGGACCTATAGCACCACTTCCCGTTTCCCTGTGGTTCATTGGAGATGAGAGTCTCATGGACGTTCCTGCCCTAGGCTGGCTTTGAACCGCGTTCCTCCGCATCTCGGCCTCCTGAGTAGCTGGAAAGACAGATGTGAGCCACCCAGAGCCCGGCAGCTAGAAAAACAGATTCTGATGGGCATTATTCAACGCCGCGTGATCCTCGGCGCTTTAACCCATCCACCCCGCTTTCCACGTTACCTAAACGCTGGGTATTTTTAGACAGGGCATAAGCCAAAGACTATGGGGAAGAGGACACTCTTAAGAGAACAGCGGAGATACAGGACACGCAATGAGGATGAGCTGCTTTTTTTCTTTTCTGCCCCATTTCTTACGGGCAAAGGGCAAAAAAAAAATCCCAGAATCCCTTTGCTTTGCTGTGTCAGCAGCGATGCAAACACCTGCCGTTCACATTCTGTGAATGCTTTTCTGGCACCAGCTGCTTCAACCAAACCCTCATCAGCTTGTCTTTCCGAGTAATCAAACTGCACACTTAATAAGAGCCCAGAGCTGGTGGCTCACGCCTGTAATCCCAGCTACTTAGGAGGTTCAGAGCTGAGGGGAGGGCGGATGGTTCCAAGTCACCCAGGGCAGATACAGTTGGCAGACTCGCAACTCCAAGGAGCCAGCAAAAAGCTGGAAAAGTGCAAGTGTGGCTCAAGTGGTAGAGCGCTGGCCTTAAGTGAAAACATCAAGAAGTAAGAGCGTGAGGCTTGAGTTCAAAGCCCGGGGCCTGCAACCACAGGGTCAAATGGTGGGAGGAGGATTTCCCCGACAGGCTTCCAGCCCCGGGAAGCACAGAAGTATGGAGCAGGAAGAAAGGGAAACAATGAAAACAAAACAAACCCCCAAACCAGCCTCAGACTGTTTTGTTGTCTCTGACAACCCAGCAAAAGTGACTTTCCAACGTCTCAGTCAGCCAGGCGCGCTGGGCAAGACGCTGTTTATTTTGGGTGATCCGGAGTGAAAATACCCACAATCTGCAGAGATATTCTCGTCTCTCCAACTCCCACTTTATAGGAATGCTTGAACCCAAGAAACGGAACTAGACACAGAGCCGGGCACCGGTGGCTCATGCCTTGTCATCCCAGCGACTCAGGAGGCTGAGATCTGGAGGATCGCAGTTTGAGGCCAGCCCAGGCAGGAAAGTCCCCCATGAGACTCTTATCTCCAATGAACCACCAGAAAGTTGGAAGTGGCGCTGTGGCTCAAAAGTGGTACTAGCGCTAGCCTTGAGCTGAAGAGCTGAGGGACAGCGCCCAGGCGCAGAGTTCAAGCCCCACGACTGACAAAAAGAAAAAAAAAAAAAAGAATTGGAGGCTGGGAATGTGGCTCAGTGGTAGAGTGCTTGCTTAGCATGCAGGAGGCCCTGGGTTCGATTCCTCAGCACCAGAAAAAGCCAGCAGTGGAGCTGTGGCTCAAGGGGTATAGCGCCAACCTTGAGCAAAAGACCTCAGGGACAGCGTCCAGGCCCTGAGTTCAAGTCCCAGGACTGGCAGCAAAACAAAACAATAAAACAACCTTAACACAGAATCTGGATGCTGGTGGCTCACGCCGGTCATCCCAGCAACTCAGGAGGCTGAGATCTGAGGATCGCAGTTCAAAGCCAGCCCTGGGGCAGACCAGTCAAAGTCATTCTCACCGCCCATGGACCAGCAAAAAGCCAGAAGGAGGGGTGTGGCTCAAATGGGAGAGCACCATCCTTGAGTGAAAAAGCTCTAAGGCAGGGCACCCAGACCCTGCGTTCAAGTCCCAATATGGGTACATGTACACACGTACACACACACACACACACACACACACACATCAAGGCAAAACCAAACCACTCCACAGAGACTCTGCTATCCATTCTACTATCAGATACCTGGTACTGAAGAAAAAAGACCTGTTTGGGGCCTGAGAGTCTCTGAGCCAGGTCTCTGTCTCCCTACCAGCCCCTCCCCCCCCCACCCCCCCCCCACCCCCCGCAATGGAGCCGGCCCACCTAGAAGGTCAGCACAGGGGCCGGTCTCCAGCCGGTGCTTCCGATAGAGGTTTTTCAGCACCTTGGCGCTGCCGAAGCGCTTGAACCGACTCTTGACGTTGTTGTAGAACCACTCGAGAGACTGCGCCCGCAGAAGCCTGCGGGGAGACAGACCGTGGACTCTGGGCGTTGGGAGGCTGAGACCTGGAGGATCGGGACTCGAGGCCCGCCTGGGTAGGAAAGTCCCTGAGAGTCCCATCGCCCCCAGAAACCCAGCAATACATGCATGCACGCATGCACTGAAGGCGGGGCGGGCACTCACCGGGCCTGTTGGCACACGCCACACAGCCACGCCCTGTCGCGCTTGTGGTAGAAGCTGCAGGCGCGGCACACGTTGAACTTGCAGTCCCCGCAGCGCCGCCGCGGGTTGAGCAGGAAGGTGAAGGGCGTGCAGCAGCGCATGCAGCACTGCGCCACGAACTGCGGGTGCTTCGCCAGGATGCTGCACCTGCTGCCTTCCTCCGCCAGCCTCCGCTTCATCTCGCTGGGGGGAGAGAGGGGGAGAGGGTGAGGAGGCCCGACGGAGCCCATCCCCAGGGCACCCCACATTCTGACTCTTGTCCACCCCCCTCCACCCCCCAAACAAACATACGGAAAAATCAAAATCTTTTTTTTTTCCTTCACAACATTGGGTGGGTGCTCTACCACTTGAGCCACGCCTCTAGTCTGATATTTTGCCGGTTCCACTGGAGATGGGAGCGTCTCGGACAGGTCTACTCAGGCTCACTTGGAGCCGTGATCCTCGGGATCTCAGCCTTCTGAGCAGCTGCAGTTCTAGAATGTGAGCCGTTGGTCCAGAAAGATCGATTCCACTCAGGCGTGCGTGGCTCACACCTGTCATCCCAGCTACTCAGGAGGCTGACATGTGAGGACCACCGTCGGAAGCCAGCCCAGGCAGAAAAGCCTGAGAGACTTCTCAACCATGAACCAGCCAAAAGCCCAAAGTGGCGCTGTGGCTTGGGGGGGTAGAGCACCAGCTTAGAGGGAAAAAGCTCAGGGACAGTGCACAGGCCCTGAATCGGAGCCCCAGGACCAGCACACAGACAGACAGAAATCTGATCCTCAGATCTCAGTCAGCCTCCCGCGTAGCTGGGATTACAGGCGTGAGCTCCTAGACCGTTCACACTGCTCCATGTAGATCCTAGGTGGGCCCTGCCCATCCCCGGGCTGGGAGTGGAGGAACGAGTCACCAGCACCCAGCTAAGCCAAGACTCCTGCCTTTTGCTTCTAAATAAATGGTAAGTCTTCTTCCGCCGGGGTGCATTTGCATGTCATTTGCATATGCTAATGTGCACAGGCCGCCCTGTCTGGAGTTAGCCGGGGCTAGAGAAATAGATGCTGTAGCCACAGGCTTTTGTCCCCGGCTGAGCTGACCTTGTGCGAAAAATTCCATCTCCCACGGAGAAACCAGCTGTCAGCACGCTGCAGACACGCAGGAAATGCACTTGACGTGACACTCAGCCTCGGGGAGGGGGTGGGGAGGAGGAGGAGGAGGAGAGGAGCAGGGGAAAAGGAGGAGAGACTGTATCTCCAATAAATTACTCAAGAAAAAGCCAGAAGTGGCGCTGTGGCTCCAGGGGTAGAGCGCCAGCCTTGAGCACAAAGAAGCTCAGGGACAGCCATCTGGCCCTGAGTTCGAGTCCCAGGATTGACCCAAAAAAAAAAAAAAGCCTTCTCCTTTGGTCTCACTGTGTGTGAAGGCCTAGTCCTGGGTCATTCATCCCGTGCCCGTGTAGTGTAGATCTAGCTTCCGCATAGGAGAGAAAACATGGCGCCCGGGATCTGAGCCTGACCTCACTTCACATGATTCGTCTGAGGTCTATCCATTTCCCTGCAAACGACAAAGAGTATTCTTCTTTCTGCCGGCGTGTGAGATGCCATTGTGTGGAGGTACCGTGTGTTTTGGATCCACTCATGGGTTGTGGGCATCTGGGCTGTATCCGTGGCGTTGGCGGTGGTGCGCAGTGCGGCAGTGAACATGGTTGCGCAGGTGTCTTCATGGTCTCCTGGCCTTCTGGGTGATACCTAGGGGGCGGTGTGGCCAGGTCGTGGGGAAAGATCTGCGTATCGTTTTCCGGCAACTGTCCAGAGGGGGTGCAGGAGTTCATGGTTCCCCCCACCCCCAGTATGCGGTACGGCTCCCCTCCCCCACTTCCCCACGAGCATTGTGGGATTTCTCAAGGTTGGCCAATCTAACCGGGGTGGTGGTATCTTAGTTGTTCTGACTTGCATTTCCTCCACTACGGGGGGCGATGGGCATTTCTCTGCGGTTTACCTCTCCCTTCTGACACATCCCTCCTTAGGGCTTTTGCCCATTGACTGCACAAAGCTTTTTCTAAGAACGCCAGGGCAGCGGGGACCTGGTGAACTCTTGGTCTTATGCATCCATCTCTAATGAAGATCGATCGCACCCAGGCCTGTGGAGCTGCATTTCTAAAAACAAAACAGTCCATCCAGCATGTTCACCCGCCTTTGCGATGCAGCGCCAGGAACATTCATTAAGAAGCGTTTCCAACCTGCGCGCTGGTGGCTCCCATCTGTCACGCCGAGTTTCTGAGGAAAAGATGGGATCCGAGCATCGTGCTTCGCAGCCCGGTGTGGGCAAGAAACGGCTGGGAGACTCTCAACAAAAAGCCCGACGTGGAGCTGTGGTTCAAGGGGCAGAGTGCCAGCCTCAATTAAGCAAGTAAGCCAAGAGAGAGGGAGAGATCCTGAGTTCCAGGCTCAGTACTGATTAACTAAACAGACTGAAGGGATCATCAACCAATAAACACTCTGGCCGACTCTGGTGGCTCCCGCCTGTCATCCTAGCTTCCTCCGGAGGCTGAGATTGGAGGATTTCAGTTGGAGGCCCGCTGCTCAGGCCAGCCACGTCAGAGAAACGCTTGAATTTGCAACAAACCACCAAAAAGATGGAAGCAGCGGTGTGTCTTACATGGTAAGAGCTCCAGCCTTGAGTGAAAGAGCAGAGAGACAGCGCCCAGGCCCTGAGTATAGGGAAAGAAGTTCTCCTTATTACCCTAGAGCGCAGCTCTATGCTTCATCAATGAGAAACAGAGAGCGTCGGCCACAGAAAGCCAAGCACACCACGTGGAGATCCTGGCCGAAAGGCTCAGTGCGTGTACATTTCAGACAGGACAAACACTGGCTGCTTCCCAGAGCCGGGAAGGCCAGGCAGGGGTTAGAGGCGTGGAAAACTCTTATCGAAAGGCAGCAGTTGAGCCCCGTGACATTTGCAAAGGGAAAAGTAAACAAAGGCCAAGAACTCAAGAGCCACAAAGGAATTGGGCTGGAAGAGGGTAGAGTCACTGAACTAAGGGGACAAATGTCCTGGTGTTTAGGGCCCCAACATTAGCATAGAAGCTCAAGAGAGACCCACGGCCGGGGGGATGAGGGGGTTCCTTGCACGCTGAGCAGGAGCAGTGCCGACCTAAAGCTGTGAAGTTAAGTGGGTAGTGGTGGCTCACACTTGTCATCCGAGCTACTCAGGGAGGCTGAGATCTAGAGGATCTCAGTTTGAGGCCAGCCCAGGCAGGAAAGTCCATCAGACTTTTTATCTTCAATGAACCACCAAAAAAAGAAAGAAGAAAAAAAGAAAAAAGAAAAAGCCAAAAGTGGAGCTGTGGCTCAAGTGGTAGAGAGCTAGCCTTGAACAAAACAACAGCAACAAAAAAAACCCTCAAGGGCAGCACCCAGGTCCTGAGTTCAAGGCCCAGAACCAACACACACACACACACACACACACACACACACACACACACACACAATCAGAGCTTTGTGAATTCTGCTGATCCATTTTCCTGTCCCCAAAACCAAAGGACAGGAAGAACCGAGGCCTTCTTCCTTGGTATGGAAACTTCTGGAGCGATTGTTTGCATCCTTGTGACTGTTGTTGGTTTAAAGCAAAAACTGAGCCTTGTATAGAGCGAGAGAGAGCTCACGCATGCGCATGCAACACTCATCCCCCTGTGAACACAAGGGACTCATCTCTCTCCGGGGGAGTTTCTGTATAGCAAGAGAGTTACCATGGTTAACAAACAGCAAGACGAGGCTGGGAAGGTGGCTCAGTGGTAGAGCGCTTGCCTTGCATGCAGGAGGCCCTGGGTTCGATTCCTCAGTACCACATCCACAGAAGAGTGCAGGAGCTCAGGACAGCAACCAGGCCCTGAGTTCCTTTTGCAAAAACAAGAAAATAGATCTCAAGTGTATCATGCCTGCCAGCTTTCCTGAAGGTAAATGGATAAATACAGAGGCTGAGCCTTTGAGCCAGGCTGGAAGTGTCTCCTGGGCCCCTCCCTTCCTTCCCCTGAGCCCAGAACTGTCTTCCAGTCCTGCGCACAGGATGCATTGGCCGTGGAAAGGCCAGCGTAGCTGTAGTTAAGGGAAGCAATTGCTGGCGTGTGGCCCGTGCCCACCGCCCGTGGGGCTGCATGCATTCCAAGATGACTGTGTTTTTGCACAGTGGAAGTGAGCTCATTAGACTCAATTTTGCCCAACAATGGCCCGTGCCGTGAATAGTCCTTCCTAACAGCCTGGCGTGACACTGTGAAATCACCGGCTATTAACGGAGACTCGCGTTTACGCCTACAGCCCTCTCTACGTGGGGTTCTCTTTCTTGCCAGGACTTGGATTTGAACTCAGGGCCTCTCTCACTCCCCCCTTCGTCCCTCCCACTTCCCCCTCTTTTGGCCAATCCTGGGGCTTGAACTCAGTGGCCTGGCCACTGTCCCTGAGCTGCTTTTGCTCAAGGCTAGCACTCTACCACTTGAGCCACAGCACCACTTCTGGCCTTTTCTGTGTATGTGGTGCTGAGGAATGGAACCCAGGGCTTCATGCATGCTAGGCAAGCACTCTACCACTGAGCCACCTTCCCAGCCCCCTGGTTATTCATTAGTAGTATTTGCTCCTAGGAAAAGTAACTCCAAGCCGGGTGTCTGTCAATCCAGCTACTCAGGAGGCTTGAGATCTGAGGATCGCGGTTCAAAGCCAGCCTGGGACAGGAAAGTCTGGGAGCCTCTTCTTTCTAATGAACCACCAGAAAACCAGAAGTGGCGCTGTGGCTCAAGTGGTAGAGCACTCGCCTTGAGCTGAAGAGTTGAGGGACGGCGCCCAGGCCCTGAGTTCAAGTCCCACAAGGGACCCCACTCTGCCCACAAAGCCAGCGCACAGCCCACGAGGCCTAAAGGACCGGGACACCGCTGTCCCTGGGGATCCTGCGGCGCCAGGCCTCCCAGACGCATCTCACCTCAGCCGCTCCTCCTCCTTCTTCCGCAGGTTGAAGTCTCTCTGCACCACCTGGAGAACATGCTCCGTTTCGTCATCAGTCAGCGCCGACAGGTCCAGCTTCCGCCCCATGGCTGGTGAGCAGGAATCTGGACGAGGAAACCAGGAAATCCAGACCTGGAAAAGCAAGGGGCCGATGACGCGGTGAGAATAACACGACTCACGCCTGACCTCTCAGCTCCTCAGGCAGCTGCGATCCGGAGGATCGTGGTTCAACACCAGCCGACAGTGGAGAGAGTCTGCTAACTTTGGGGCCGGGATTACGAAGGGTGAGCCACCATTCCTGGGCCTTGGTGGCTGGTTTAAGAATTGTGACCTGCCGGGCTGGGAAGGTGGCTCAGAGGTAGAGCGCTTGCCTTGCATGCCTGAGGCCCTGGGTTCGATTCCTCAGCACCACATAAGCAAGAAGAAAAAAGCCAGAAGTGGCGCTGTGGCTCGAGTGGTAGAGCGCTAGTCTTGAGCTGTAGAGCTGAGGGACAGCGCCCAGGCCCAGAGTTCAGGCCCCGTGACCGGACCCCCCCAAAAAATATGAATTGTGCCCTGCCATTTTTATTTCCGAAACAACAACAAATTTAGAGAATAGAACAGCTTCAGTTTTTAAAATCCTTTCCTGAATGATTTAAGACCTCCTGACTACATAATAACAACTAATCTCCAGAGTTTAACCAGCAAATCTTGAGAAGAATTCCAAACACTTTGAAGGGGGGGGGGGGGGGAATTAAGAAAAATTGTGAGTAATGCTGTTTGTCAAAAACTTGGCCAAGCAAGTTTTGGGGGATGGGCGTGGGGCACATGGCACAGGTCTGTGGGGCCACCAGATGTTAAGCAGAAGCAGAATTCTTCAGAGCTGGGCGCCCGACGCTCACACCAGTCACCCTGACTACTCAGAAGGCTGAGGTCTAGAGGATCGTAGTTCAAAGCCAGCCTGGGCAGGAAAGTCTGTGAGACTCTGATCTCCAACCAACCACCAGAAAACTGCCAGGGATGCTGTGGCTCAAGTGGTAGAGCACCAACTTAGAGTACCAGAGCTCAGGGACAGGGCCCAGGCCCTGAGGTCAAACCCCAGGCCTGACAAAAATAAACACACGTGCACCGAAGATAATTAAACCATTTCCGTTCCTATCACTTTTGAGATTTTTATTTTCCATAGCCTACAGGGACTCCACACACCTTACTGCTGTTAAGACTCCAGCCAAGGTGAGAAAGGCCTACAGAAAACGCAATGCCTTGTGGGAGCTTTCCTACTGGAACGGGTTTTTTTGCCTTTTGAAAGCGCACACTTTGGTCTGGTTCAAACATTTATTTCAACCTTCACTACACTGAGAATTCAAAAGAGAAAGAGAAAAAAAGGAAGTTATTTATTACACCCAAGCCTTGCTCATAGAAGAAATCACCCACCATAGGAAGAGATTTTGTGATAAAAAGTAATCTCAGATTTAATGGTGCATTGGGCTGGGAAGGGTGGCTTTGTGGTAGAGTGCTCACCTAGCATGCATGAGGCCCTGGGTTCGATTCCTCAGTAGCGCAAACACACAGAAAAAGCTTGAAGTGGGGCTGTGGCTCCATTGGTACAGTGTTGTCCTTGAGCAAAAGAAGCTCTGGGACAGTGTCCAGGCCTGAGCTCAAGCCCTTGGGCTGGCAAAAAAACAAAAAACAAAATAAGAAGAAGGAAAAGATTCAATGCTATCGCAAATGCAGGCCTTAGACAGAGTCTGATAGAAAAATGAGCAGACTTCGTAGCAAACAATCATACAAAAAAACCCTGTATCTACATACAAAGCAAAGAGAGCAAGAAAAAGAAGAAAAATGCCAAAAAGATCCCACAGACGAATTATAACACTGTTAAACAGACAGCCTGCGAGCAAATAAAGCCACGCCAAGAAAAATGAAGGCAACTTCCTTATGTATTAATAACACCAACAGCTTCACCCATGAAATGAAAACCACAAAGAGCTATTGACAGTGGGATGATATTAAAAAAAAGAAAGAAAGAACGAACGAAAAAAGAAAGCCAGGCAGATACAAAGCAAAAGGAAACCAGCCCTTAAAAACAGCCCTAAAAAAGACACCTTAATGATTTCTGATATGTCTTGCTCAGATTGAGCTAAAATGCACACACACATTGCACACACACATACATGTGTGCATATATGTGTGTGCATATATATATATGCACACACATATATAATGCTAAATTGTATAATAATGAATTGTATCATAAATAATAAATTGGATAATTGAACTGTACACCGCTACAGTAAAAGCACAGGGTGAAGTTGCTAAATCCCTAACTTCCTCTCTAAATGATCAAAGGGCAAGACATCCGTAAGAGAAATGGATGGTTTTTAATAACACGATGAACGAGCTTAAACTAACAGACAATGTGAGGCGCTCCAGACACCAGGAAGCAAAGAAAATTTATTAGAAATGACCACATACCAGGCCATAAAACGCATGGCAAACCATTTCCACCAAGCTGGAATCAGGAAGAGCCATTCTCTGTGCATTACAAGAAAAAAAATTCCAACCCGGGTACCGGTGGCTCAGGCCTATAATCCCAGCTACTCAGGAGGCTGAGATCTGAGAATCTCGGTTCAAAGCCAGCCCGGGCAGGAAAGTCTGTGAGACTCTTATCTCCAATAAACCAATAGAAAACTGGAAGTGGTGCTGTGGCTCAAGTGGTAGAGCACTCACCTTGAGCTCAAGAGTGCAGGGATAAGCCGGGCGCTGGTGGCTCACGCCTGTAATCCTAGCTACTCAGGAGGCTGAGATCTGAGGATCGCGGTTCAAAGCCAGCCCGGGCAGGAGAGACCGTGAGACTCTTATCTCCAATAAACCACCAGAAAACCGGAAGTGGCGCTGTGGCTCAAGTGGTAGAGCACTCGCCTTGAGCTGAAGAGCTGAGGGACAGCGCCCAGGCCCAGAGTTCAGGCCCCACGACCGACAAAAAAAAAAAAAAAAAAGAGTGCAGGGATAGCGCCCAGGCCCAGAGTTCAAGCCCCACGACCAACAACAACAAAAAAAGAAAAAGAAAAAAAATCCCAAAGCTGTAGACATACACTCTGTGTGTGTTTGTGTGTGTGTGCCTGCGAGCGTGTGCTGCTACCAGGACTTGAACTCAGATCCCAGGCACTAACCCTATACTTTTTTTGCTCAAGGAGCCACAGCTCCATTTCCAGCTCGTTGGCAGGTCACTGGAGATAAAGAGTGTCATGGATTTTCCTGCCCAGGCTGGCTTCCAACCGTGATCCTCAGATCTCAGCCTCAGGAGCAGCTGAGATTACAGGCGTGAGCCACCAGCGCCTGGCTGCCACTATTATTTTCATATTCCCTAAGCCCCTCCCTTTTTACATAGTTTTAGTAGTAGTATTATAATATTTTCACACATCCATACACAGTAGATCCATGTAATATTATAAGGAAGCATCAAAATGAAATACCTTTGTAAATTAATATAAACCAATAGAGGAAAATAAATATGTTAAGGAAATACAGTATATATTATATACCAAATATCTATTATATATTCATGTCTATAAAGACTTATATGTATATATATATACATTTATACTATAACATGTATATTACATATACACCTATATACTATATACATTATATTTGTGTACTATATACATATTTTTTTTCCTTCAGTCATACTTAACCCTATTTCCCTCTTCAATCCCAGTCTCCCTTTAACAATTATATCTTTTTTGGTAGTTTTTTTTTTTTTTTTTAACTTGGGAGATAAGAGTCTCACAGACTTTCCAGGCTAAGCTGGCTTTAAACCTTGATCCTCCGATCTCAGCCTCCTGAGTAGCTGGGATTACAGGCGTGAGCCACTGGAGCCAACAATGCCACATGATTACTGTTACCCTGTTTGGAAGATTTTACAGTGGCGGTCTCCCAAGGCGTGGCTCCTCTCACGTGGCTTTAATGAGTGGCTGGCGTGGGACGTGAGCAGTGTGTGCAAAAATGATCCTCTACAACCTGGCAAAACAGCTCACGCCCGCTCCAGACCCTTCCAGAGAATATTAGAAAGTTCTACGCCGAGATCTAAAAGAACAAACCCCAATCATGCTACTTGGAACACACTACGTGGAAAATGACCTAAAAGAACAATGTCCCTTTTATATTCTTTCATTGACCTTTTAACATCAGCTGTTAAAAAGAAAGACATCCGCTAATTAATTTATGGATTCAGTGTTCAATTACAGCAGAAATTTCTTAGGGGAAAGGAATTGACTTGGCTCATAAAAACCTCATGAAATCTACAGACTCCAAAATGGCAAAGAAATGTTTATAAAGGACATGTTGAAAGATTAAAAAGGGACGATTTATGTTATTTTATATTTTTAGAAAAGGGCTTTGATAATTAGCTCAAGAATCACAAAAAGATGAATGGAGCAAAGCAGAAATCAAGGCACTGATCCAAAACTACAGCAGAAACGGGTCATCTGACCGAGAGGGAAACAGAAAAATTAGTGAAGAGGTAATCAATTATTCAGGAAACGATCATTGGATTATTGGTTTTCATTATGGAAAATGACCAGACTCCTGCCTCCCATGAAGGGTGGCATTGTCAGATGAAATCTAACTGTAAAAATCCTAAAAACCTTATGGTAAAACAAAGCAGTGCGGGCAGGGAAAGGTGGCTCACGCCTGTCATCCTAGCTACTCAGGAGGCTGAGATCTGAGGATCACAGTTCAAAGCCAGCTGCAGGCAGGAACATCCATGAGACTCTTCTCTCCAATGAACCACAGAAAACCAGAAGTGGTGCTGTGGCTCAAGTGGTAGAGCGTTTAGCCTTGAGCAATAGAGCTCAAGTCCCAGGACCAAAAATAACAAAAACCTATCAAGCATTTCTCAGATCAAGCTGAGCACTGGTAGCTCAAGCCTCTAAATCTGACTCCTCAGGAGGCTGAGATCTGAGGACCAAGGTTCAAAGCCTCTAAGATTATCTCCAAAGAACCAGCAAAAAGCTCACAATGGAGCTGTGGCTCAAGCGGTAGAGCACTAGCCTTGAGCAAACAAAAAATGGGGCTGGAAGTGTGGCTCAGTGGTAGAGTGCTCACCTTGCATGCATGAAGCCCTGGGTTCGATTCCTCAGTACCACATACACAGGAAAAAGCCGGAAGTGGCGCTGTGGCTCAAGTGGTAGAGCGCTAGTCTTGAGCAAAAGGGGCTCAGGGACAGCGCCCAGGCCTTGAGTTCAAGCCCCAGGACTGGCACAAATTAAATTAAAAAAAACAAACAAACTGTAATCAGTTGGCATCTTACTGCATTTACACACCTGTACACACCCCTTCCTTCCTTGGGAAAGATCCAGATCCCAGGGAGGGAGTGGAGGGGAAAGCAGAAATGAAGTCAGACTCAAGATATGTTTGATGGAAGCTAGTCTTCGCCCCAAATCAACCCACACTGCACACAATTTCCCTTCAGAGGCTCGGGAGGCCTTCCTGCACACACTCCAGACATCTGGGAATTGTTGTCTTGTGGTGGGGGTGGGGGGTGACAGGGCTTCTTGGGGCGGGGGGAGGGCAGTAGAAAGCCAAAGACTTTCTAAGAACAAGGCCTATGGCAGACCTTTAGTGAATTCAGCAGCGCTATACAGGAGGAAGAGGACTGGGGGGGGAGGGGGGGGGCTCTCCACAGATCCCCAGATAGATGCCTTTCCCCTCCCCCCCCAATCTGGGAGGTGTCCCTAGAGATCGGCTCCCTACCACTCCACCTCCCCCCCCAAATAAAAAAGCCTGGCATCTTTTCTCAAAGACCAGGCAGGATGAAGAAGGAAAAACCCCAAAATAAATAAACCAGGATAAAGCTCCGATGTGTGCACCCAAGCCAGGCAGGCGTGTGTGTGTGTGTGTGTGTGTGTGTGTGTGTGTGTGTGTGTGTGTGTGTGTGTGTAGGGGGGGTAAGGAAGACAGGTCCGCTCCCTCCTCCTGCACGCAGCCTGGTGAAGGCCACACGCAATGCACCCCGCTGCATCTATGAATGCACGTGTGTATATGATATATATATATATATGTGATTTTGACTCTGTCCCACCGGCCTTGACCTTGGAGGGGGAGCAATCCCTGCCTCTCCTTTATAGATATTAAAAGGTACCTTTTAATCACATACATTCTAGTGTGAAGAAAAATCCAAGGTGCCCCACTCAGGGGCCAGCCCTCCCTCCCCCAGCCCTCCCCACTCCCACCCCAAGAAGGGGGGGGAGGAGAGTGTGAGGGGGGGGATCATCATAACTGACTGCCTGGAGGGGCATATGCCCCCCTCCCCTCCTCTCCCCTCCCCTCCCCTCCCCTTCCCCCTCCTCTCCTCTCCCCTTCCCCCTCCTCTCCCCCTCCTCTCCCCTCCCCTCCCCCTCCTCTTCCCTTCCCCCTCCTCTCCCCCTCTTCTCCCCTCCCCTCCCCTCTCCTCCTCTCCCCTCCTCTCCTCTTCCCCCCTCCCCCTCCCCCCTCCCCCCTTCCCTTCCCCCTCCCCTCCCCTCCCCTTCCCCCTCCCCTCCCCTCCTCTTCCCCCTCC